AATCAATTAGTTGCCTCTGTACCCCAGGTAAATGCCCTTGACGGGGAATCAAACCTGCAACCATTCTGTGTGGGCTGACACTGCCACAGCAGCACTGGCCGGGGCAACCATGTTTTTTGTTTGTTCTTTTAAATATATTTTTATTGATTTCAGAGAGGAAGGGACGGGGGGGAGAGGTAGAAACATCAATGATGAGAATCATTGATTGGCTGCCTCCTGCATGTCCCCTACTGGGGATTGAGCCCACAACCAGGCATGTGCCCTTGACCTTCAGTCCGAAGGCCAACGCACTATCCACCGTGCCAGACCAGCCATTTTCTTTTTTTTTCAGGGCAACCATGTTTTAAAATGACTATTACATTGAATGGATGTGTCATACATAGTATGTACAATTTATACCTTCATCCTTGTTATGGTACTATAATTGATAAAATACTTAGTAAAGATCTTAAGTTTGTATGATCCTTTTTGAGATTAATACAGTTATAATTAAGTAAAGCTCTACACATTTTGTTTACTGTCATTGATTAGACCAGTGGTTCTCAACCTTCTGTCCCTTTAAATACAGTTCCTCATGTTGTGACCCAACCATACAATTATTTTTGTTGCTACTTCATAACTCTAATGTTGCTACTGTTATGAATCATAATGTAAATATCTGATATGTAGGATGGTCTTAGGCGACCCCTGTGAAAAGGTTGTTCGACCGCCAAAGGGGTCGAGACCCACAGGTTGAGAACCACTGGATTAGACTCATTTACTTATTTAACCATTTTCTGCATATATTAGATTATTATGGTCTCAGAATTATTAAAAACAACTAATGTTTCCTGTGGTAACTGCTGGTTTCCTTGACTAGACTTAAATGTTCCTAAATTTCCAATTATACATAAGTTATTTGTACTTCTGCATATGGCTGATTCTGCCTATTACAATAGAAGCTATTTGGGTTTTATTGTTGTGGGTTTTTCAGTTTTTCCTAGGTCAATCTCATAGGCAGCTAATGCCTAAACAAAAAAATATGTTAGGACAGCAAAAAAAGATCATTGTGATTTAAGTTGAAAGCACCAAGGAGAAAGGATTTAAAACTTGGGTTGAGCTGTGAAGGTGGGAGAATTTAAAGAGGATTAAGAGATTATTGCAAATAAGGGGAAAGAATGAGGAAAGATAAGCAATGTGTTTGGCTGAGTGGATAGATTGAATGGATCAAAGTGTTTAAGATGGAAAATTTTAAGAAAAAAGTTGGGAAGTTAGTTTTGAGTCAACATGTAGAAAACATTTTATTAATGGCATAGTAAGGGTTTTAGATTTAGCTTATAATAGGTAGATTGTTTCTAAAGTATTTTGAGCAGGGGAATGATATGAAATGGTATTTTAGAAATATTAATTAAATGATATTATGTAGGATAAATTGAGGATAAGGGAGGAGAGGCTAATTAGGCAGTCATTACATTTAAGTGAAAAATAATAGCCAGCATTATAGCCATGGCAGAATGGAAAGAAAGCTGTAGGTGTGAGTAATCATATGAATAAAACTTTGTAGAGAGAGAGCGTTGAAGTAGAAATAATCACAAGGGGTTTTAAAAATCAGCATTATTGAAATATAATTAAAATAGATACAATTTATCCATTTTAAATGTTCAGTTTGATGAGTTTTGGCAAATGCACACATACTCTAACTACTGCCACAATCATGATATAGAACAATTTCTTCACCCCAGAAAGTTCCCTTTTATTTCTCTACAGATAATCCTCTTCCTCCAGCCCTGACCTGGCAACCTCTGATCTACCTCCTGTCACCAGGTTTTTGCATTTTTTTTTTTTTTTTGGCTTTTCTAGAATTTCCTGTAAATGGAATCTTATGATCTTATGCTTCTTTCACTTAGCATAATGCTTCTGAAATTCATCCGTGTGTTGCATGTATTAGTAGTTCCTTTCTCTTTGGTTGCGTAGTAATCCAGATCCATTCACTGGATGATGGGCATTGGGTTGTCTTCAGTTTTTGGATGCTATGATTAGGGCTGCTCTGGATACATATATATAATGAAATACGTATTACTTGACCTGACTATAAAAAGGAGTGGAATCTTATTATGGATTGACCTAGAGCAGCCGTGGGCAAACTACGGCCTGCGGGCCGGATCCTGCCTGTTTGAAATGAATAGAACTAAAAAAAAAAAAAAGACCGTACCCTTTTATGTAATGATGTTTACTTTGAATTTATATTAGTTCACACAAACACTCCATCCATGCTTTTGTTCCAGCCCTCCGGTCCAGTTTAAGAACCCGTTGTGGCCCTCGAGTCAAAAAGTTTGCCCACCCCTGACCTAGAGAGTATTATGCTAAGTGAAATAAATAAGTCAGACAAAGGAAGACAAATACCGTATGATTTCACTTATATGTGGAATCTAAAGAACAGAATAAAGGAAGTAACAAAACAAAAACAGACTCAAAGTGGCTGTATCATTTTGCACCAGCTGTGTAAGAGTGTTTTAATTCTTCCTCTTGTTAACACTTGGTATTACCAGCCTTTTTAATTTTAGCGAATAATAAAGTTTTAAGGCAGGGAAATAGAATGAATAAAATGAGAGCATCAAGTGGGAGAAGTTAATTTATAGACGAGTGACAGTGGGGATGGCTTGCAGTTTGAGTATGGAGTATAGGCTGACTCTGAGTGGAAAAAAGACAGACCTCAGGGGTTCTACAACTTCTGTGATAGGACTTTGAATAGAATGGCACTTTCGAGTTAGAGAGCCATGAATTTGAAGATTGGCTCTGTTACTTTCTGTATGAGCCTAAACAAGTTATTTATCCTTTCCAAGCTTTAGTTTTCTCCATTTGTCAAATGTGAAATAATGGATAGTTGTAGGTACTAATGCAAATTAGCATTCAGTGAATGGTAACTATCATCATCATCATTGATACTTAAATATAATTTTATGCCCCTTTAACTTGTGACGTTCTTATAAATATCTGCATGTTTTTCCTTCCTAACTGATCTCTTCCCCACTGTTTTTATTCCCTATCACAATTGTCAGAGTGATTTTGTTAAGCACTAGTCTTGTCAAGTTACTTCTCTGATCTAATCTTTTCAGTGGCCTCTACAAGTGGGTACTTCCACTCATCCTTGTCTGCGCACAAATATTAGTTTTTGTCTGTGAGTTTTTATATTCTTCCTGTTAGGTCCTCTGTTAAAAACATCTCAGTACCATTTACATTTTTCTTTCTACCATTTATCACAAATAATTGTTTAATTTTTCTCCTCTCCTCAGTATTATTAAATCCATGAAGTCTGGCACTTGATAGGCGCTCAGTAAATTTGTTGAGTAGATTATCTTGTTTTAAATTCTTTGAGGACAAAACTTAAATTCCTTCTGGCATTTAACATATTGCTTTCTGTAGCAGTTCTTTTTTAAAAAAATATATATTTTTTATTGATGTCAGAGAGGAAGGGAGAGAGAGAGTGGGATAGAAACATCAATGATGAGAGAGAGTCATTGATCAGCTGCATCCTGCATGCACCCTACTGGGGATCAAACCCAAAACCACAGCATGTGTCCTGACCAGGAATTGAACCATGGCCTTCTGGTTCATGGGTTGACGCTCAAACCACCGAGCAACACCAGCCTGGCTGTTTCACTTTTTAAAAAAATTTTATTTGGAAAGAATTATAATAGACTCACAAGAAACTGCAGATAATAGTGCAGAGAGGTCCCTTATACCCATCATCCAGTTTCTCCAGGTAGTAATATCTTTTATGTAAGTAGAATTATCAAAACTAGGAAATTGACACTGGCACAATACAATTAACTGTAATACAGACCTTATTCAAATTTCACCAGTTTTTGCATGTACTCATTTTTGTTTTTGTTTTTGTTTTAATATATTTTATTGATTTTTTACAGAGAGGAAGGGAGAGAGATAGAGAGTTAGAAACATCGATGAGAGAGAAACATCGATCAGCTGCCTCCTGCACATCCCCTACTGGGGATGTGCCCGCAGCCCAGTACTCATTTTTTTATTTTCTTGAATGTCTATGTCTATAATTATATGGCAGTTTTAAAAATAAGAGTATTTTGGTTTATTGGAAAGTTGCAAAGCTAATACAAAGAATTCCTATATAGTCCTTAACCACTCTTCCCGAGAACATCTTACAGCTGTATAGTACATTTGTTACCTTAACAAACCAACATTGGTTAGTTTTTTCGGACACCATCCAGAGTACAGCAGCACACTTAGTCATTATGTCTCTTGAGGCTCACCTAGACTGACAGTTTTATATTTTCTTTGTGGGGTTTTTTTATTATTGATTTCAGAGAGGAAGGGAGAGGGAGAGAGCGGTAGAAACATCAATGATGAGACAGAATCATTGATCAGCTGCCTCCTGCATGCACCATACTGGGGATCACCTGCAACCCGGGCATGTACCCTGACTGGGAATTGAACCTGGGACCCTTCAGTCCGCAGGCCAATGCTCTATCCACTGAGCCAAACCAGATAGGGCTTTCCTTGTTTTTTATAATCTTGACAGCTTTGAGGAATACTGGTCAGTTATTTATAGAATATTTCTCAAATTAGTTTGTCTGATGTTTTTCTCATGGTTTAGTTTGTCATGATGCTTTTCTCATTGTTAACCCATAACTGGGATTATAGGCTTTTTCGAGAAAGAGCACAAAGGTAAAGTGCCATTTTTATCACATGATGTCAGTATACTATCAACATGGCTTATCATTGTTGATGTTGACCTTGATCACCTGGCTGAGGTAATGGTGGCCAGGTTATTTACTGTAAGGTTACTTTGGCTGCTCTTTTTCATACTCTGCTCCTCGGGAGCAAGTTCCTAAGCACAACTTACATTCAAGATGTCAGAGGACTTAAATTCAACCTCCTGGAGGGGAGATTGCCTACAGAAATTATTTGGGATTCTTCCAACATGTATTTTTCAACTTTATGGAAATAGCATGAGTACTGAATCAGTCTAACGTATTTGTTCTTTGCAGGGTGGGAAACCCCGTAAACATCGGAAGGATCGGCTACAAGATTTAATTGATATAGGCTTTGGCTATGATGAGACAGATCCATTTATTGATAACTCAGAGGCTGTGAGTAATGCATCTTTAATATATCAGTAATTATTTGTCTGGAATAGTAGGAGTCAAGGGTAAGGTAAAGTAAGTAAAATAATTCAGTGAATGTTTTTACAAACTGATACCCTGTTGATATACATTTAAAATGTTTCTAGTTTTATACACCTATAAATAATTGAGCATCTGTGTACACTTTGTGTACTTGAGTAAATATATATGTAAGGTAATTATAGAGTGCAAATATATGTGTAGGATAAATTTCTAGCAGTGGAATTTATTGACCAAAGGGTATTTATATCTTGAATTTTTATTGATATTCCCAAACTTGGGCAAGATGTGTTTTCAAATGACTTCCATATAAGTATCATGTGATCTTGAGAATTGGAGCTACTGGGTTAAAGTTAATCTGGAGACATCTTTAAAATGTACTTGACTTTGATTTTTTTTTTTTAATATATTTTATTGATTTTTTACAGAGAGGAAGGGAGAGGGATAGAGAGTTTGAAACACCGATGAGAGAGAAACATCGATCAGCTGCCTCCTGCACACCCCCCACTGGGGATGTGCTCTCAACCAAGGTACATGCCCTTGACTGGAATCAAACCTGGGACCCCTCAGTCCACAGGCCAACGCTCCATCCACTGAGCCAAACCAGTTAGGGCAAGACTTTGATTTTTTTATTGCTGCCAAGACTTACTACAATGGCGGTAATTTAATGCCAGCCTTTTACCAGCCTGTTTCAATCAAGCCCTATGCCTTTTCCCCTGGAACTCTCTTTCTCTTATAAAAAGGAAGGGAATTTAAGAGAGCATTTAAAGCCTATGGCAGTCCGTTGATCCCATAGCAAATGAAGGAGGGTATGTCATGTTTTGGGTAGGTAAGGTATATCTTCTCAGTGTATTAGAGTAGTCTAAATAATGTTGTTATGATATTATTTTCAGTGCACAGTGATTACGTAGGATATAGAGAAAGTGACACTGAAGTGATTATTATACTACCCATAAATTAATACGTCTTTTTCCTGTTATGACAGTGCTTGGTTGCATAGATGACGACAAGGCATATGGTGTGGTAGGAGAGAGTGATAGGATGGGCTTCCAGCATGAGACATACTGGAGACCCTGTCATACTTCTAAGTTACTTTGGTGCCCTGACATAAACTGGTTAACCTACCAGGCAGCCTGGTTTGTAGCAGTAAAATACTGACCGTACCCTTTAGAGTAGAGGTTGTCAATGAGTAGGTTAGGCCATGGCATATTGTCAAGAGTCTTGACCTTGATTCGGAACTCAAGTCAAAAGTCCTAGATTCTAGACCTGACTCAATTTCTAATTTGCCATAGACCCAGAGCAGGTCTTTTAGCATCATCCACTTTGCTATGATTGGCTTGTCCAGCAGAATTACTCTGAGACTCCAATAAGATAATGACATGCTGAAAAGTGTAAAGCATGAAAAAAGCATTAAAGCCAACATTATATGTAAAACAGGTTGAATTCAAAATAACCCAAGAAGGAACTTAGTCATATATAAATGGACATTTCATGTACTGCGGCATTTTTTAAAATTAATAAACTTAATTTAATAGCAATTTTAGGTTCACAGCAAAATTGAGCAAAAGGTACAGAGATTTCCCATATATTCCCTGTCCTCACACATATACAGCCTCCCCCATAATCAGCACTCCCCCACCAGAGTGGTACATTAGTTACAGGGAACCTATATTGACACATCATCACCCAAAGTCCATAGTTTACTTTAGGGTTTGCTCTTGGTGGGTTTTGACGAATGTATAATGACAAGTATCCACCATTATAGTACCTTACAGAATAGTTTCACTGCCCTAAGAAATCTCTGCCCTGCCTATTTGTGCCTCCCTATGCCCTGGCAACCACTAATCTTTTTACTGTCTCCATAATGGGTTTTGCCTTTCACAAATAGCATCTTAAATATCTCCTTTTGTAGTATTCAGAATTTTCAAATAAAGTGTTTTGCAAACTGACTTTTGCAGTCCATAATTGGATTATATATCAATTTAGAGAGGGACCAGCATTTTTAAAGAAAGTGAGATAGGAAATAATAGAAGCTGTCATGGTAAACCACTGATCGGCTCTGTGATTTTGTTGATGTGCATGTGTGTGTTCATGTGCACTGAATTTTGATGTTGGTGTGTAATGTATTTTTCACCTGGTTGTGGTAAAGAAAATTTGAAAGCTACAGCTTTAATAAATAAGGATAAATTTTGTAGGTATAAGTTGTATAAAAGTTATATAATTACTTACATTATAGAATAAGCTAGGTCACTGTTTTATAACAGAAAATCAAACTCAAAGTTCAGGTTGTTTAATGACAAACAAGTAATTGTATATTGTTGTCTTTAACAAATTATTTGGTTCTTTTTATGAGATAATTCAAACATAAAATAGTGTGATCCAACTAAATGATTCGCTGTTCTTATCATTGATTATGTTGCCAGTAGGCTTTTACTGTTCTTATATTATTTGATAGAGAGTGAAAATAATCTGGTTATAATTAATTTTCAGAATCATGTACTACTTATTGCTATAAATACATGAAAATAAATGACATTGAAGATATTTTTAGTCTCACACTTAAATGCTGCCAAATTTTTAAAAGACTGAAAGAAAATTTTTTTTATTATTAATAAATAATAATACCAGACACGAGTAACACTTTTATTTAGATTGTCTTTTTAATTTCACTAGAACTTTCCTCTTGTTTTACATTTCCAAAATATTGATGTTAAGTGATTTGCTCTGGGTCACAATAACTAATCATTGGCAAAGGATTTGAATCCAAGTCTTCTGATTCTCAAGTTCAGTGTTCCATTGGATCTTAACACATTCTACCTGAAAGAATAAATTACATTTGCATAGAGAATTTGTTCTCCTGAAGAGTGCTCTGGTAGGGAAAGTTCAGCAGAATACCGAAGAAGACACATGTTAAGCACATCCACCTGCTTGATAACTTAGTGATGAGGGTGTTTCCCAGGTGAGAAGCTGCTTGGTGTCGTGGATGGTGGGGAGTCAGCCAGTAACTCTGCCATAAACTAATGAAATTACTCTGGCAAGGTTCTTGACTGCTCTGAATCTGGTTTTCAAATGGGAAAATATTTGTCTCCCTTACCTCACAAGGGTGTCTGGAAGACCAAGTGAAACAGTGTATAAGAAGAAGAATTGTAAATGATAAAGCAGTGTACAAGTATCTGTAAGCGAAAGTACAGGTGTATTTATCTTATCTTAATTACACATTTTCAAAGTAATTATGAAATAAAAGTCTTTTCACTTTTAATCCTTACTCCTTCCATCAGTTCTTTACTTGTAGATATTACTAGACCCCTTCTGAAAGTCTTACCTATAGATCTTTATGTGGCCCATGGAGTGGAGCAACAAGAAAGGACTTGATGGATGTTTTTTCTTTTCCATTTTCCATATAATTTAAAAGAACACATGTTAAAATCAGAACTTTTGTACTTAACCTTAATATTCTTATAGTAACTAGTATGTTGTATAGATTTCTTGCCAATGGCAAAGAACTTTCTTTAAAAATCTGACTTCCTTAAAGACTAGTTATATAATAAGAACCCTTAAGTAGAGTTCTGGAGACTTCAGGTAGCAGATATCTCGTTTCTGTTAGATAAGTAGTTCCTTTTTTCTCTCCCACTATAAATGCCTTCATTTGGTTAAGATTGACCATTTAATGGTTGCATTTTGTCCATCTTCATCAAGTGAGATATGATAAGCTTTAAAATTCAGATTTAGAGGACATCAGCTTTAAGGATATTCTAGGTCAGACCTTCCGTCCGATTTAGGCAATTTGAGTCTCTTGCTCCAAGCAAAGTGTGTAGCTCATTAGCCCCAGCGTGTGCTTACTGAACTCGCAGTTCCTTTCCTGCTTCCCTTTAAATCATGTACATGCTGTTGTCCTTTTGAACGTTTAAAATTTTTTCTCCACGTAGAAACTTAGAGCTAAGACAAAAGAAATAATTTTGTTACTTTTTTTCTTTTCTTAAACATTTTATGCATTTATAGTGGTTTTCCTTGTTAACCTTGTTATTTTTTATAATCTCCTTATGAATAAAATTATATATTAATGTAGTAGGAAATGAAATTTATTATTTGTCTGGGCTTTATTTATTTCTTTCTTCTTTATTTTAAAATCCTCACTCAAGGATATTTTCCCATTGATTTTTAGAGAGAGTGGAAGAGAGAGGGAAAGATAGACAGAAATATCGATGTGAGGGAAACACATTGATCGGTTGTCTCCTGTAAGAGACCTGACCAGGGCCTGGGCCAAGAAGGATCCTGCACCCCAGGTTCGTGCCCTTGACCAGAATCGAACCAAGGACCCTTTGGTCCACAGGCCAACACTCCATCCACTGAGCCAAACCAGCCAGGGCTGCCTGGACTTTTAGTTATCTGTTTTAACTTGTTTGAATTTCTCATCAGAATTATTGTCATTAAAAATAGTAGCAGTGATCCTTAAATTTTTCTCAGTAGATGATATATTTAGAATTTGTTCCATTGTTCCAGAAGTGCCTTTCTAATAAATGCTGAATGATTAGAGCTCATTTTTATTCTAGATACTAACTTTTTCTAAACTTATTCCAGAAACATACTCATTGCTGTTAGTTTTTGCAGTTAGGATTTAAGGAAGATGCTGACATGGTGATTGAATTTATTTGACATATTTATAGAATTAAAGATAATAGGATATATATGAAACTTTTTTTTCTTAATCTAGTATGATGAATTAGTTCCTGCTTCTCTAACAACAAAATATGGAGGATTTTATATCAACACTGGCACTCTACAGTTTCGCCAAGCTTCAGATACTGAAGAAGAAGATATTACAGACGACCAAAAGCACAAACCATCCAAAGTGAGTTTATTCAAAATTGCAACAGTAATGAGAGCATTCAATTACTAAGATATGCTTTTTGAATTTTACTTGTGCTTTACACTGTGACTAGAAGGGAAAATAAATTGCTAACCATTCTTTAATGAATCCATAGTTAATTACATGCTTTAAAGTAAAATTATGTAAATATGGGGAAGTGATATTTACATCACAGAACTATATTTTAAAAATTTCTCTCTACATATGTTGTCTAATAATCTGTTTCTGGGATATGGTTAAATTTCCAGGATATATGTTAAGTCTTGGTATAGAAATGACTTAATAACCATTACTTTTTCTAAGATACAATTTTTAAAGCAAATTCTATAGAATATATATATTGTATTTGGGAAATGGAGAGAGTGTCCTTAGATAAGTGTTCTTTGAAGTGTGGCAAAGATGTACCAAAATCACCAAAATGTTTGTTAAAAATACAGATTATAAGGACCTACCACAGATAATTGAATCTAAACTGGGGTGGGAGTGCTCATGGACCACAAGAATCTGCATTTTCTTTTTTATATGTTTTTATTGATTTCAGGGGTGTGGGGAGAAGGAGAGAGAGAGAGAGAGATAGAAACATCAGTGATGAGAGAGATTCATTGATGGGTTGCCTCCTGCACACCCCCTACTGGGAATCAAGCCCAAAACTCAGGCATGTGCCCTGAACAGGAATCAAACCAGGACCTCCTGGTTCACAGGTTGATGCTCAACCACTGAGCCACGCCAGCTGAGCAAAATCTGCATTTTTAAAAATTAATGCAGACTGAAATTTGAGAAAAAACACTGCCCTTGGTGCTGAGTCACTAGCATCAGAGAAAAGCATTGATACTTAGATAAGTGATGCATTCTTTTATCATTTTGCAGATTCCTAAAATAAAAGAAGACAGCATTGAGATAAAGAAGCGGAAGCGGAAAGAGGAAGGAGAAAAGGATAAGAAGCCAAGGAAAAAAGTACCCAAACAACTGGGGTATGTGAAATTAAACATAAGAGAATCATTGTCACAGTGTGACTCGTTCTCCTTTTAGAAAGGTATATTTAGCATTAAATAATGTAACTCAGCTGGGTCTAATTTAATTCAGTATTTATGAATACCAATGACCTATTAACTTATATTTTGATAATATTGTATCTATCCTATCTAATAATAGACAAACATGGCAATTAACCGTACCTCCGACACACTTCCCATTGGCTAATCAGGGTGATATGCAAATTAACTGCCAAGCAAGATGGCAGCCGGCAGCCAGGCAGCTGAAGCGAACAGGAGGCTTGCTTGCTCCAGTGATGGAGGAAGGTTTCCCACCTGCTGCTGCTGGGCTCTCAGCTTGTACTCTCAGCAACTATGTTGCAATTATAGGAGCAAAACCATCCCCAGAAACCTGCTTTCAGCCAGCCGGGCTTCAGCCAGCAGAACCGCAACAGTGTTTCAATTATAGAACAAACCCAGATACCTGCTTTCAGCAGCCGAGGTCTCAGAGCTGCAGCCGGGCCTCAGAGCTCAAGCCGGCTCTCAGCTCCAGTGACAGCCATAGAAGGTAAATAAATCCCAGAATTAAAAAAAAAAGAAAAAAAGGAGAGGTTGGGAGCTTCAGTTGCCCGCCAGCCTGAAAACAGCTCTCAGCCCCTCACCCAGACCGGCCAGGCACCCCAGTGGGGACCCCCACCCTGAAGCAACAAGATAGCGGCTAATTTGCATACTGAAGGCAGGCGGCAATGGGCAAGGCTGTCCATGGTCCTGGACCCGGATTCGTGACCTGGCAGGTGGGGGGCAGTGCTTGAGGCTGTCCACGGTCTGGGACCCGGATCTGTGACCCTGCCGGGCGGGGGGCAGCACTTGAGGCTGTCCGCGGTCTGGGACCCAGATCCATGACCTGGCAGGCAGGGGGCAGTGCTTGAGGCTGTCCGCGGTCCCGGGACCCGGATCTGTGACCCTACCGAGCGGGGGGCAGTGCTTGAGGCTGTCCGCGGTCCCAGGACCCAGATCTGTGACCCTGCTGGGCGGGGGGCAGTGCTTGAGGCTGTCCACAGGACCAAGACACGGATCTGTGACCCTTCCTGGCGGGGCAGCAGCTCACACAGGGGCGGATCGGCCGGGGTTGGGCAGGGCAGGACACCTGGATTCTGCCCAGCCCCAGTCACTCTGGGCAGGTGAACAGTGCAGAGAGCCTCTGGACAGGGGAGGCAGGCCGGCGGAGGGCGGCCTGTACTCCCCACATGGCTGTGGTGACAGCTGTGAGCGCGCCAAGCGGAGCCTGTAGGCTGAGCTGAAGTAGCGCCTAGAGGCCATCAGCGCCCAGAAGTGGCTGCACAAGATCCGCCTCCTGGCCCAGAAGGTGCAGGATCGCAGGGACAGCCACCGTGGCGGGCCAGACTGAGGTCCTCCTGGCCGCACCACGGGGGTTTGCGGATCTGCAAAGCCAGAGGCCTCCGGTGTGCACTTCCCCCCCTGGCGTGCGAACATCCCCCAGCACACTGTCACCCTCCCACGCCTGCAACAGTTGCAAACCAAGGTGTGCACAAGTTCCCCCCGCCTCTCCACCGCACTTCCATCAACACAGCATGCCTAACACCCCCACAGGATGTGCACACATCCCCTCTGATGTGCTCACGTCCTTTGGAGAGTGTTTGGGTGTTCTGGGTGCTGAGGGTGGGCGCCTGTGAGATGACAGTGAGAGGGCGGAGTGGTGATGCCCTGTTCCCACGGAGGCCAGTGCAGCTACAAGATCACCTCTAGGGGGTTAATGCAGGTGCTGAGGCGGGAGCAGATGCAGACAGACACACTTGGTGGGCGCGGGCGGCCCTCGCTGAGGTGCCTTCGGTCAGAGGTGGAGAGGAATTCCGTCCTCTCAGTGAAACAGTGGGATAGTTGGGGCGACTGTAGAGGAGGAATGTGCACTTTGGGTGCCAGCACCCATGAGCAAAGGCTGCTCTGACTGAGCCTCGCTTGCTTGGGGCCTAGCGCATTCCTGCCGGGCAGCGGGTGACAGGACGTGCTTTTCCGAATTAATGAGAGAAAACGTTGATTCTCCTGCAGCCCACGAAGGTGGAAAGTGAAGTGGGGAGACGTGGGGAGTGAGCGAGGTTCCCTGTCTGGGGGTCCCAAATCTGCTGTTGGTTTCTTTCACCGCTGACTAGAGATATACAGGGTGTCCTCCCAAAATGTATACACACTTTGAATACCTACTAATTCCAGTGGTTTTAAGCATAAGAAAGAAACAACAATGGAGCTGTTATCTATTAAAAGTGTGGGCACAAACAGGCAGTCGGACATTCCCTGAGGGGTCTCAGATTGGAGAGGGTTAAGGCCAGACTGAGGGCCCCCCACCCCCCGTGCATGAATTTCGTGCACCGGGCTACTAGTATATATATAAATGACCAAACAACCAGTCAACTGGTCGCTGTGATGCACACTGACCACCAAGGGTCAGCTGCTCAACACAGGCCAGGCCAAGGGACCCCACTGGTGCATGAATTTGTGCACTGGGCCTCTAGTTTATTAATAAGTAGAAGGGTTTGTCATCTTAGAGCAGGGGTGGGGAACGTCTGGCCTGCAGGCCGTTTAAGGCCCTCGAAATTATTTGGTCTGGCCTTGCCAAATATAGCAGGATAATTTTTTTTTAGGGGTTTGTATAAAGTGTTGAAAACTTTATTTTATGTAATAGCAGGTTAATTTTTAAGTTGATAATTTTGTATGGCCTGTGAATAATGTTATAAATATCCAAATGGCCCTTGGCAGAAAAAAGGTTCCTCACCCCTGCCTTAGAGCCTCACAGTGTATTAGATCAGATTTAGAAATTGGTTCATTAAGTATTTTGCTTATTACAATATTTTACCAATAAGAATCAGTTTGAAAAGAAGGTATAACATTGAAAAAATGATTTTAATCTTTTTGTACTAAAACTAAACTTAGATGCCTGGAGATTGAGGATTGGCAGTAGTCTATGTGTAAACGAGTTATATTGTGTTAATATAAAACAGTCATTTATTTTATTTACGTATCCTTAACACTTGTGACTTTAGCTAATGTGATTTTGCCTCTAAAAACCAAGTAGAATTTCACAGAAAACATCAGTCATAAGAATAAAATGTTTGTACCATGTAATCATAAAATTACCAATTGCCCCTATCTCTCTATGGCTTTTTAAAAATACTAAGTTACAGAAACTTGAGAAGCTAGGTATTTCTCCCCTCCTTACCAAGGCAGTACATCTGAATTTTGGGCTATCGATATCCAAAAATTTGATGTAGGGAGGTATTTATACCCTCCTGAGCATGAGATTATAGTGACATTTGAATTAGTAAGAAATTGTTAAGCCCTGGCTCCTGTGGCTCAGTTGATTGGGCATTGTCCTGTGCACTGAAAGGTTGCAGGTTCATTTTCTGGTCAGGGCACATGGCGGGGTTGTGGGCTCCATCCCCAGTAGGATGTCCCAAAAAAACATATGCATACTTTGAATAATTATAAAGGCAGTGTTTATTAAAATACATTTCATTTTCAAAATGTAATAGAAATCAGCTTTTAAAGTGTGTATACATTCTTTGGGGACACCCTGTGTGTGTGTGTGTGTGTGTGTGTGTGTGTGTGTGTATAACTAAAGGTTGTTTTAAGTGATTATTATTTACTGGAGACCCAGTGCATGAATTTCAGATCAGATAGGATCTAGATAGAGAGCATGGTGATGGTTGAAGGCTCACAGATCCCTCAGCCCAGCCTGCACCTGCTCACAGTCCAGGAGCCCTCGGGGGATGTCTGACTGACGGCTTAGGGGAGTGGGCCTAAGCCGGCAGTTGGACATCCTTAGCACTACCCCAGAGGCAGGAGAGACTCCCGCCACCGCCACTGCACTTGCCAGTCGTGAACCTGGCTCAGGGCTTCTGGCTGAGTGGCACTCCCCCTGGTGGTCAGTGCTCATCATAACGACCGGTCATTCTGCATATTAGCCTTTTATTATATAGAACAAGTAAGCTTCTTTGGGAATAAAAACTATACACAATGCTTTTTATTGAATTTACTAGAGGCCCAGTGCACGAATTTGTGCATGGGTGGGGTCCAGCAAGCCCTGCCCCAATCGGGGTGGGAAGGTGATCAGGGGCAGGGCCAGCTGGGTGGAGGGGTCACAGGAGGTTGGCTGGCCCCCGATTGGGGTGGGGACATCCGATCGGGGCCAGGCTGGCTGGGGGGAGGGTCCACGGGAGGTTGGCGAGCGGCTCCACCCCCATAGGGGTGGGAAGACCAATCGGGCCGGCCAGGGAGAAGGGCTGTGGGAGGTTGGCTGTCCAACCCTGCCCCAGATCTGGCCTGGGAGAGCCCCCCCCGCCCCCCCATCAGGCCAGTTGGCTGGCTGCAGTGCGTGTCATAGCAACCAGTTCTGGTCGTTCCGGTGTTCCGGTTGCTTGGCTTTTATATAAATAGATCATTTTCTCAAATTTATAATCTATTCATTGAGTAAATATTTGTTAAGTACCTATTGTATACCAGGCACTCTTCTGGTTGTATGTGTATATAAGAGTAAATGAAACATGGGCCTACCTTCAAGGTTCTAACAATCTTTTAGGTTCTATAAGTACATGTTAGAAACATATAAACCATAGAATTTAGAAAAGATTTCTTATCTAGCTGATTGCCTCACACAGCTGTTCCTGGAATGGAAAGTGAAAAATGACCAGAAGGTAGTAGCAGATCGAATAGGATTTAGTTAGAGAGCATGGTGATGGTTGAAGGCTCATAGATTGATACACAGGATTTTGTATTTCTTTGGCAGTTGGTAGCACAGCCTCCAGGGATACAAGTTTGAAGGTGTACTAGGTGGGCTTCTCTGGTTGTAAAGCAACTGTTTTCAGCAGAAGTACATTTCTTTACTTGGTTAATTGTTTAGGTAACTACTTTATAGGTGTGCTAAAGAATGTGAACAGTCCAAAAGGAATAGTAAGTTAAACTTAGTATACTTTAGTAAACCTGAGCTGCTTTCATTTTTTTTCTCTTGACTTTATTCCTTTTATTTTCCTCACTCTAATGTTCACTTACTTATCTACCTTTCATAAGCAACAATCCAGATGATGATGATGAAGATGATATTGTTATAATTTAACTAGAGACCTGATGCATGAAATTTGTGCAAGAGTAGGCCTCCCTTCTCCTGGCTGCCCACCCAGGCTTCCCTTGCAGCCCCGGCTTCGTCCGGAAGGTCGTCCCAAAGGACGTCCGGAAGTACATCCAGTCTAATTAGCATATTATGCTTTTATTATTATAGATTATTATAGATAAGTGATTTACTTTCCTGCCTGTCAAATGATAATCTATGCCTGCTTATTTACATGGGGCTTTAATCTTGAAAATCATACGTAGCCTAACTGATTACTTTTTTTCTTCACAGAGTTGTAGCTCTGAATTCACACAAGTCTGAAAAAAAGAAGAAACGTTACAAAGATTCTCTTTCTCTAGCTGCCATGATACGAAAATTTCAGAAAGAGAAGGATGCATTAGAGAAGGAATCTAACCCTAAAGTCTCAGTGAACTTAATGAGCACCTCTTTTAATAAACCCCCCTCTGCTGCTGTAACATTGGGAAATGATGTCTCCGACTTAAACATGAACAGTGCCGATCCGGACCTTCCCATTTTTGTTAGCACAAATGAACATGAACTCTTTCAAGAAGCTGAAAGTGCCCTAAAGATACTAGATGATATTGACTTTGACAGATTATTGGATGCTACTTCTGATGGTAGCCCCCTCTCTGAGTCAGGGGGAGAGAATGGAAACACCACCCAGCCAACCTACGCCTCTCAGGTTATGCCCAAGGTGGTACCTATACTCCCAGAGGGTTTACCTGTCCTTCTTGAAAAACGTATTGAAGACCTCCGTGTAGTAAGTGGAATAATTCTCTTGTTTTTTTTGTGTGTTTTTATTTGTTGCACAAATACAACAATAAATGTATTTTTAAGACAAAAATAACAACTGACAATCCCAATACTCATATAAGCAACATATAATTTCTTCTTAGTTTTTGGCTGTGTGCATAAACCTTTGATTTTATTTATATTTATTTAAGTATAGTTGGTATACAATATTATATTAGTTTCAGGTCTACAATACAGTGATTTGACATTTATATACTTTATGATGTCATCACACTAAACGAAGTCTAGTAATTATCCATCACTATGCAAAATTATAATATTGATGACTATATTCACCTTTACCTTTTTCACCTATCCCCACCTCCCTCAGCTCTGGCAACCCTCAGTTTGATCTTTATGAGTCTGTTTTTGTTTTGTTTGTTCATTTGTTTTTTTAGATTCTCCATATAAGTGAAGTCATATGGTATTCGACTTTGACTTAATTTTACTTAGCATAGTAACCTCTAGGTTCATCCATTTTGTCACGAATGGCAAGATTTCATTCTTTTTTTATTGTTGAATATTTCGTTGTATATGTAGCACGTCTTTTTTATTCTTTCCATGGACACCTAGGTTGCTTCCGTATCTTGGCTATTGTAAATAATGCTGCAGTGAACATAGGATGCATTTATCTTTTTTAATTAGTGTTTTGAATTTTTTTAGATAAATACCCAGAAGTGGAATTTCTGGGTGATGTGGGTATTTCTGTTTTTAGTTTTTTGCGTAATCTCCATACTTTTACATAGGGGTTACACCAGTTTACACTCCCACCAACGATGCACCAAGGATTCCCTTATCTCAATGTCCTCACCAACAGTTGTTATTTTTTTACTTTTTTTATAATAGCCATTCTGACTGGTGTGATTTGGTATCTCATTGTGGTTTTGCTTTGCATTTCCCTGATGATTAGTGATGTTGAGCATCTTTACATGTTGGTTGGCCATTTGTATGTCTTCCTTGGAGAAATGTTCTATTCATGTTCTCTCCCATTTTTTGATCGGAGTGTTTATTTTTTTATCTTGAGTTGTATGAGTTCTTTATATTTTGGATATTAACCCCTTATTGGATATGTCATTTGCACAAATATATTCTGTCATTTAATAGGTTGTCTTTTTGTTTTATTTATGGTATCCTAAAAAGCAGGAGCTTTTTAGTTTGATGCAGTCCCATTTGCTTATTTTTGTTGTTGTTTCCCTTCCTTAAGAGGACATAGCCAAAATGATATTACTATGACTTATGTAGAAATGTACTGCCTTTCTTTTCTTCTGGAAGTTTTATGATTTCAGGTCTTATATTTAAATCTTTAGTACAGTCCCTGGCCTGGTAGTTCATTTGGTTACAGCATTGTCCCAATATACCAAGGCTACTCGAGTTTGATCTCTGGTCAAGGCACATAAAAGAATCAATCAGTGAATGCATAAATAAGTGGAACAACAAGTTGATGTTTCTGTCTTTCTCCCTCTCTCTCTAAAAGAAAAAAAAAATCAATAAACATAAATAAATGATGCCCTAGCCAGTTTGGCTCAGTGGATAGAGTGGCGGCCTGCAGACTGAAGGGTCCCAGGTTCAATTCTGGTCAAGGGCACATGCCTGGGTTGCGGGCTTGGCCCCAGTAGGGAGCGTGCAGGAGGCAGCCAATCAATGATTCTCTCATCATTGATGTTTTCATCTCTCTCTCCCTCTCCCTTCCTCTCTGAAATCAATAAAAATATATTTTTAAAAATGTTTAGTTCAGCCCTAACCAGTTTGGCTCAGTGGATAGAGTGTCGGCTTGCGGACTGCAGGATCCCAGGTTCGATTCCATTCAAAGGGATGTACCTTGGTTGCTGGCACATCCTTAGTAAGGGGTATGCAGGCGGCAGCTGATTGATGTTTCTCTCTATCCCTCTCCCTTCCTCTCTGTAAAAAATAAATAAAATATATTTTAAAAAAATGTTTAGTTCAATTTGAGTTTATTTTTGTATATGGTATGAAGGAGTGGTACAGTTCAATTTCTTTTGCACACATCTGTCCAGTTTTCTTAGCACCACTTATTTTTGCTTCTCTATTGTTTCATTGATCTTTGTGTCTGTTTTTGTGGTAGTACCATACTGTTTGGTTATTGTAGCTTTATAAGTTGTTTGAAACCTGGGAATGTGTTATCTCCAGCTTTGTTCTTTTTTTTTTTTAATCAGCTTTATTAGTGATAATGTTTATATTTATAATTTGTTAAAATATATTTTTTATTGATTTCAGAGAGGAAGGGAGAGGGAGAGAAAGATAGAAACATTAATGATAAGAGAGAATCATTGATCAGCTGCCTCCTGCACGCCCCCTCGTAGGGATCGAGCCTGCAACCTGGGCATGTGCATTGACCAGAAATCAAACCATGACCTCCTGATTCATGGGTTGACACTCAACCGCTCAACCAGTGAGCCACAGCGGGTGGACTAGTATGGACATTTTAATGGTATTAGTTCTTCCAATTCATTAGCATGGTATATCCTTTCATTTATTTGTGTCCTCTTTAATTTCTTAAGTTTGTAAAAGTTTTCAGAGTAAAGGTCTTTTACATCCTTGGTTAAATTTATTCCTGAGTATTTTATTATTTTTGATGCAGTTGTGAAGAGGATTGTTTTCTTAATTTCTCTTGATCATTCGTTATTAGTGTATAGAAATGCGACAGATTTTTGTTATTATGTCATCTGCATATAGTAACAGTTTTACTTCCTCCTTTACAATTTGGATGCCTTATATTTCTTTTTCTTATCTGACTGCTGTAGCTAGGACTTCCAATACTATATTGAATAATAGTGGTGATAGTGGGCATTCTTGTCTTGCTCCTGATTTTAGAGGAAAAGCTTCCAGCTTTTCACCACTGAGTAAGTTGTAGCTATGAATTTGACGTATGTAGCTTTTATTATGTTATGCTAAGTTCGCTCTATACTTACTTTACTGACATTTTTTTCATAAATAGATGTTAAATTTTGTCAGATGCTTTTTCTGCATCTATTGAGATGATCATGTCATTTTTATGCTTGGTTTTGTTGATTCATGTATCATGTTAATTTGTGGATATTGAACCATCCTTGCATTCCTGGTATATATCCCACTTGATCATTGTATGTAATACTTTTACTGTATTTTTGAATTTCATTTGCTAGTATTTTGTTGCTAATTTTTACATCTATGTTCATCAGTGTTATTGGCCTGCAATTCTTTGTTTTTGTAGTGCCTGTCTGATTTTGGTATTAAGATGCTGGCCATGTAGAATGAGTTCCTTTCTCTTTAATTTTTTCAAGGATAGGTATTAATTCTTCTTTATTTATTTATTTATTTATTTTTTAAAATATACTTTATTGATTTTTTACAGAGAGGAAGGGAGAGAGATAGAGAGTTAGAAACATCGATGAGAGAGAAACATCGATCAGCCGCCTCCTGCACATCCCCCACCGGGGAAGTGCCCGCAACCCAGGTACATGCCCCTGACCGGAATCGAACCCGGGATCCTTCAGTCCGCACGCTGACACTTTATCCGCTGAGCCAAACCCGCTTTGGCTTAATTCTTCTTTAAATGTTTGGTAAAATCCACCTATGCAGCTGTCTGTTCTGAACTTTTGTTTTTTGGGGGGTGTTTTTTAATTACTATTTCAGTATCATTACTAGTAATTAGTCTATTCAGAGTCTGATTCTTTTTGGTTCAGTCTTAAAAAGATGTATGTTTTTAGGAATTTATCCATTTCTTCTAGATTGTCCAATTTGTTGGCATATAATTGTTCATACTATTCTTTAATGATCCTTTGTATTTTTGTGGTGTTGATTGTAAACTCTTCTCTTGCATTTCTGATTTTATTTATTTGGGCTCTCTTTTTTCCTTGATGAATCAATCTGGCTAAAGGTTTGTCGATTTTGTTTATCCTTTCAAAGAACCAGCACTTAGTTTCATTGATCTTTTCTATTATGTATTTTTAGTCTCTAACTCTTATATTTCTGCTGTGATCATTATTATTTCCTTTCTTCTATATATTTTGGGTTTTGTTCTTTTTCTAGTTTTGGTATAAAGTTAAGTTGTTCATTTGGGATTTTTCTTTCTTGAGATAGGTATGTATAGCTGTTAACTTTCCATCTTAGAACTGCTTTTGCTGCATCCCATAAATTTTAGGGAGTTTTGTTTTCATTTTCATTTATCTCAAAATATTTTTGAATTTCCTCTTCAATCCATTGGTTGTTACTAGCATGTTGTTTAGTCTACATGTGTTTGTGTTTTTTCCAGTTTTCTTTTTGTAGTTGATTTCTAGTTTCATATCATTGTGGTCGGAAAAAAATTCTCTATTTTCAATATTATTGAATTAATTGACACTTGTTTTATGGCCTAATATGTGGTCAGTCTTGGAGAATATTCCATGTGCACTTGAAAAAAATGTGTATTCTGTAGTTTTTGCATGAAATGTTCTAGGATTGTCTATTAAGTTGATCTGATATAACATTTAATGTCATTATTTTATATTAATCTTCTATCTCTGATTTGCCCAATGATGTTAGAAGAGTATAAAGTCCACTAATATTGTATTGCTGTTAATTTCTCTTTCTATGCCCATTAATATTTGCTTTATATATTTATTTTTTTAAATATATTGATTTCAGAGAGGAAAGGAGAGGGAGAGAGCGATAGAGGTATCAATGATGAGAGAGAATCATTGATTGGCTGCTTCCTACACACCCCCTACTGGGAATCAAACCCACAACCTGAGCACATGCCCTTGACTGGAATCGAACCTGGGACCTTTCAGTCTGCTGGCCAATGCTCTATCCACAGAGCCAAACAGGCTAGGGCTGCTTTATGTATTTAGATGTTCCTGTGTTAGGTGAATAGATATATTTACAATTGCGGTATCTTATTGCATTGACCCATTTATCATTATGCCTCCTTTTACAGTCCATATTTTAAAGTCTGTTTTATCACATATAAGTATTGCTACCCCTTCTATTTGCATGTAACATCTTTTTATATCCCTTCAGTTTCAATCTGTGTGTCTTTTTATCTAAAGTGAGTATCTCATAAGCAGAACATAGGTGGGTCTTGTTTTTTATTCATTCAGCCACCCTAAGTCTTTTGATTGGAACATTTAGGCCATTTACATTTAAATAATTCTTGATAGGCATGTACTTATTGTCATTGTTATTTGTTTGTTGTTGTTGTTGTTGTTGTTGTCATTCTCTGTTACTTGTCTTGATCTCTTTCCTTTTGGTTTGCTGGTTTTCTTTAGTGTTTTGTTTGAGTCTTTTGCTCTTTATTGTTCTGTATTTTTTGTTGTTGTTGTTTTTGTTTGTGGTTACCATGAGGTTCATATATACCAATCTGTATCTATAGCAATCTATTTTTGTTAACTCTTTATTGTTTAAAGTATTGCATAAATCTCCTTTTTCCCCCATTGACATCTCCCCAGCTGCTTCCACACCCTATAACAGTCTATTTCAACCTGATAGGTGTTTAAGTTCAAGTACATTCTAAAAGCACTTCGTTTTTACTCCATTTTGACAATCTTTGAATTTTAATGATGAGTTTTGTTCACTTATATTTATTTTCTTTTTTTAATTTATATTTTTATTGATTTGAGAAAGAAAAACATCAGTTTGTTGTTTCACTTATTTATGCATTCATTGGTTAATTCTTTTTTTTTTTTTTTTTATTGATTTCAGAAAGGAAGGGAGTGGGAGAGAGAGATAGAAACATCAATGATGAGAGAGAAATCATTGATCGGCTGCCTCCTGCATGCCTCACAGTGGGGATTGAGCCCGCAACCCGAGCATGTGCCCTGAATGAGAATTGAACTGTGACCTCCTGGTTCATAGATCGACGCTCAACCACTGAGCCACGCCAGTCGGGCCCATTGGTTAATTCTTGTATGTGCCTGACTGGGGATCAAACATGCAACCTTGGCATAGCAGGATGATGCTCTACCCAACTGAGCTACTCAGCCAGGGCAAATAGGAACTACATTCTTAATCCAATAAAAAAAAAAGTTCTAAAAACAAAACAGTACTAAAGATGTCTATATAAATACAGACAAGTTTTTCTGTTTACTGAATTTGTCCCCTCATTTGGCATATTGGTTAACATTGGGGAAATTAAGCATATAACTAAAGACACAGTATAATCTACAGTTTTGTTCATCTAAAAGTTTATTTAATCTTCTCAACTACTCCAAGTATGAAGTATAGGTATTGTTTTCTTTTTCTTTTCTTTTTGTTTTTTTGTTGTTGTTGTTGTTAATCTTTACCCAAGAATATTTTCATTGATTTTTAGGGAGAGTGCAAAAGAGAGGGAAAGACAGAGAGAAAGAAACATCAATGTGAGAGAAACACATCGATTGGTTGCCTCCAGCACGAGCCCCAACCAGGACCCAACCAGGGCCCAGGCTGGGAAGGAGCCTGCAACCAAGGTACATACGCTTGACCAAAATCGAATCTGGGGACCCTGTGGTCCACAGGCTGACGCTCTATCCACTGAGCCAAACTGGCTAGGGCGTATTGTTTTCTTTTTGTGGTTGAGAAACTTAAGTGATAGGTTAAATAGCTTGGTCAAGTCCAACTAGTAAGTGGTGGAGCCAGAACTTAAAAACAGGTTGTCTAGATTCCAAAGTATATCCTTTTTGCTATTCCCATGTTGCCCCACCGCTAGATGCTTTATAGGTTTTAAAAAGTGCTGATGATGTGACCCAGGTTTTCCAACATGTAATTGATAATAATTGCTATTGTTTATTTAGCAAATGCCTGTACTGTGTATTGAGTGTACAGTGTCCCACAGTCACAAGGCACCATTTACCATTGAGGAGACCGTGCCCTGACTGGACTTAGTGTACTTTACATACTGTATAGTCAGTCTAACCCTCGAACAATCATATGGGATAGGTAGTATTCCAAGGTTCAAAAGGTTAAGTCATTTGGCCATGGCCATGTGATTTTTAAGTGGCTGAGACATATTTCAAAGTGAAGATTTAAAGGCAGGACCATCAAGCTCCATAGTTTGCACTTCCTCTGCTGTGTTATATGCAATTCATTCTCATTTAATAAACAAAACTGCTTAGTAATGAATGTGTTTCAATCTTGTAAAACTGTCACATTTCAGATATCAAAAACTGTAATTTTTCTCTGTAATAGTAATGCCAGGAGTAAGAAGATTCGTTTTATTTACTGATGTCTATGAATTCTCCATATTTTTTCTTTAAAATACAAGATGGTGTTTTTTCTTCAGGAGATGAGAATTCATCCTTGTGTTTGTCTGATGAGGAGTTTGTCCTTGTTGCTCTTTTCTCGCTTTGAAACATTCTTCCAGTGTTCAGCCTCTTGACATTTTTGTTTCTCTTTCTTGAAGTTTAGTTTTCATTCTGGCTTTCTTCCTATTTCTACTCCCTACACACACCAGTCTGCATCCTTTCTAAGAAGTGCTGAGATACATCTCAGAAATTTTATTCTTCTATTTACAGCATGTAAAATTGTCAGATGCTTGGTAGATTGACAGAATCAGCATGTGACTATATCGGATTATTAGATCAGGCTTGATTTTTTACATCTCATGGAAATCAAGATGAACTGTTCTTTGTAATTTCCCCAGTAAAATTTGCTTATGGTAGATTGTCTTGGTTTGTACACTCTTTGTTTCTTGTCAGGCTGGTTAAGGTGACAAACAAAATGATGAAAATATTATCCTTAAGCTCATTGAATTAATTTTTGCTTATACCTAGGCTAATGTTTTCTTTGTTAGTATGTAATTAGGTAGAACTAAGGGTGTTAGTGTTACAGAGGAGAAGTTACGACGCGTCTGGTCTGAGTCCTAGGTCCACCACTTAGTAGCCGTGTGATTTGGGGGCATATCCTATAACCTATTAAAGATTTTGGTCCCTTATTTGTAAAATGAGGGTTTAATACCAGTTTCACCAGTTGTTATGAGTATTTAACAAGGTAATGGGTATAAAGTGTAGAATATGATACACATTGTAAACAATAATGTCTGTAGAAAGTGAGACATCTGCTTTCTGTTATCTTGGAGACCACAACAAAAATTAACAAGCCCTGACCGGTTTGGCGCAGTGGATGGAGCCTCGGCCTGCGGTTTGAAGGGTCCCGGGTTCGATTCCATGTACCTTGGTTGCGGGCACATCCCCAGTAGGGGGTGTGCAGGAGGCAGCTGATCAATGTTTCTCTCTCATCGTTGTTTCTAACTCTATCCCTCTCCCTTCCTCTCTGTAAAAAATCAATAAAATATATTTTAAAAAATTTTTTTTAAATTAATAAAATACACAAGACAACCAAAACACTAAAAAAATCTTATATGGAAATTTTGTGAATTTAGGTAGATTGAAAAGAAATACAGACATAGTCGGAAAGAATGGTATGTATACTAAAATAGTTTCAGCACTCTTTAATTGCCTCCTTATGCCAGGTATGAAATTGAGTATTAAGAATACAAAGTGAAAAAAATTATAACCCCATCCTCAAAGAGCTGATTCTTTAGTAAATAAATATGGAAGCAAATAATGTGTTTATTAGGGGTTATATTGTCAATCTTATGTTTCTCTAGGCTGCCAAACTTTTTGATGAAGAAGGAAGGAAAAAATTCTTTACACAGGATATGAATAATATTCTTCTGGAGTAAGTATTTTCTTCTTTGATTAAAATTCTTAAAAATTATTTAAACTTTAAGAATTTATTTAAAAATATAGTAGGCCTCGCCCTGGCCGGTGTGGCTCAGTTAGTCATTGTCCAGTGAACCAAAAGGTCACTGGTTTGATTCCAGTTAGGGCAGATACCCAGGTTGCAGGCTCAATCCCCAGTCAGGTGCATGGGGTAGGGTGGGGGGGCAGTGGGCGCAGCTGATCAATGTTCCTTTCTCTTCCTCTCCCCTCTTCCTTCTTCTCTCTCTAAAATTAATACAAACATATTTTAAAATATAAAAGGTATATAGTAGGCTTTTGAAATGCAAATACTGAGTTCCTGGCTAGTCTCATACATTAGCTCTTCCCTTTCAGCCTCCCAGTATGTATGATGAACATTTGTTTCTCAGCAAAATTATGCTTCTGCATGTATTGGTTCTTTTGGACCCCTACGATAATCAAAGCTTCCAATATTATAACTTCCAATATTATAAGTGACCACTGTACAGGTTGAATAGTACTCTAGGTTTATATGTATATTTTACCAACTTATATAAAACATTCTGTGATAGCTCTGTTTATATTAAATTTGGTATAATTTTCTGTCTACTTTTCAGACTTTGGAAAAATACATTATGAACTCTTAAAGCCAAGTGGAAAGTATGGTTTAATTAAGAAATCATGATTGTGGGATAAGATTGAGTCCAATGTGGAAAAGACAGAAGTTAGATTTAGGAGGAGAGGGTGAAGGCTGATATATGATATAGGTTATATTTAAAGTAGTGATCATTTTCACTCTCACAGTTTGATTCTAATAAAGCTGCAGATTCTAATATTGTGCTCTCATAAGATGTAAACCTATTGGCTTATAAATTTTGACCATTGGAAATTGGATATGTAATTGACTGCAAGCAGAACGCCAAAAACAAACAAACAAAAAAATGATTCTGGGGAAAGCAGCAAAATTTACTTCTCTGATGAAAAATAATGTGTTGGTAGTTCAGTAGCATCATTTAGAAAGAAACAAAAAAGCAATGTTTTTAATACTATTATTTCTCTTTTAAATATATAATGAAGATAGTTTCTCAAGATATAAAGGATGGATTGGTTTGTTGGTTCTGATAACTATTTTAATGAATTGCATTCTCTTATGCTGTAGTACTGAAACTGTTTTAAGTACCATGGATTTCATGAAACATACAACCTAGTATGCTACTTCTAATATGGTGAAATTTTGTTCCTGTTCTTCTTTATTTAATCCAGGGCTTTTCAAGTTGTTTCTCTTTGCCTGAAAGCAAGGCAAATGCTTCCTGTTGGCACCAGCTCCTTTTACCTAGCTCCTGTAAAACCCCAGATTCAATAAACAATATAACATTTCTCATCAGAGCTGACCCAGATTCCATAATCAGGGATCTGCCTAGCTCTTCTTTTTCTTTCCATTTGAAAGCCCTAAGTTTACTAGATCAGGTCCTTTTCCTGAGACGGAGACAATTCTTTTTTATTTTACTTTTCTGTAAGAGGGAACAGCTACTAGTATAGCTCCCCTGAGAGAATCAAAAGACCATCCTCAGGAAATAACATCTCAAATAAGCAGAATAGCAGCATTCCATTAACTGGCTTCTCTGTCAGTTCCTCTCATGTCTATTCTAAAACAAATCCTCTGGTTTTTTGGAGCCAATCTACTTAAATTTTTTAAAAATTTATTAATTTTGAGAGAGAGAGGGAGAGATTGATTTGTTGTTCCACCCATTCATGCACTCATTGGTTAATTATTGTATGTGCCCTAACCAGGGATGGAACCTGCAACTTTGGTATGTTGGAATGATGCTCCAACCAACTGAGCTAGTGGGCCAGGGCCCATCTATTTTTTATTTCATAGAAAGTGTGCCTCCAATTCTACAAGCCGTAGTGTTGAGTTGAATTTTTTTTCTCTTTTAGTCACTTTATTATACCACCCTGGCCTCTTTGTCCACTTTCCTGACCCAAAATCCCTTATTTCTCTAGACTGAGTTGATCTTCTAAGGACATATGGTAGATGATTATTTGGTTTAGTTTATTCCCATGAAGTTATTCAGGTGTATTGGCTCTGCCTCACCATTGCTTCCTCTTCACCATGGCTGGAGAGAAAAAGAGATGAGTTTGTTGGAATAGAGTACCCTTTTACTTTTAGCCTAATGAATTTGACCTGGATCAAAAAATTAACAACATGCTGGCTTGATTTCATCCCCTATTTCCTCCTTTACTTCAAGCTGACATTGCTAATAAAATCTTGATGCTTTGCCTATTATTCTAATTCAGCCTGACAATTCTGCTCAACAAATGCTTTAGGCAGGTACTACCAATCCTATTGGATATTTGGCAGTAAGATCTGTCTTCCTTCATTGTTAGATGCTCCTTTAAGGAGCTTGTGAGTGTGATGTGAATCCTATATAATAAAAGGCTAATATGCAAATTTTTCCCTTGACTAGGAGTTCAACCAAGAGGCAGGGCCGGCCAGCCAACTGCCTGAGGCCCCTCCCCCGGCTAGCTGGCCTGATCGACCCAATCAGGGCAGGCTGGCCGGACCCCACCCATGCACAAATTTGTGCATCGGGCCTCTAGTCTCAATATAAATGGGCTTACCAATTGGTCTGCCTGTCTGTCTGTTTCTCTTTCTTTGAATTGAAGGTTAGCAAAGTGAAAGGGTTGATCACAAGCCACAGCTTTTCCTTACTCTTTTGAGGGGCTGCTTTGCAATTGGAGGAATCCCAAACAGTTTTTCAAACATATTTCTAACCTGTTCCATACCAAGTCTCATTTAGGTAACCCTAGAACCAGCCCACCTGAATTAAGTAGTTATTCAGGGACAAGAGGGATGAACACACCTCTTGTCTAGTATTAGTTAACACATCAACAGGCTTTTGAATTTTTGCTTTAAGGTAAAGAGATATTTGGGATTTTGAATTTGGGTTATTGTTCCCTAAGATTTCTTCAGTTAGTTTTCAGTGGTTGTATTATTTGGACAATATTGGTAGGATATCTGGAATACTTGAGGAAACTCCAGGAAATTCAGTAGATTCCAGAATTCATTTGGACTGAGTTTTTCTTATTATTAGTGTTTTAAATGATTTTTTTTTCCCCCCGTAACCGGTTTGGCTCAGTGGATAGAGCGTCAGCCTGCGGACTCAAGGATCCCAGGTTCGAATTCGGTCAAGGGCATGTACCTTGGTTGTGGGCACATCCTCACTAGGGATTGTGCAGGAGGCAGCTGATCTGTGTTTCTCTCTCATAGATGTTTCTAACTCTCTATCTCCCTCCCCTCCTCTCTGTAAAAAATCAATAAAATATATTTTTTTAAAAAAAGAAAAAGAATGATTTTTTTAGAAAGAGGAAGTTTACGTGGTAGGAAGATGTGCCATATATCACCTTTGGGAAAATGACTGTATTTCTAGAATTCTGTGTAGAAAGGATGATACCATAGTTATCACTAAATATTCCTCAGTAGGAGAATCTTGTTTACAAAGATAGCTATTGCTTCCACTACAGATTTCCATGTTTCATTTCTTTGAAACTTCTCCAGAGACAAAGGAGAGTTTTGTGTAGACAGGGATATAAAAGTGAGTTTCCAGCCTATTTACTCAACAGAACCCAATATTTGTTCTCTAGTGCCTTTAACCCTTTGCGGTCATATTAAATTTGGACATGGGTGTCGTACTGGTCGGAATTAATTTCCATTGAAAGAGCAGTGATACATAACATGCAAGATTATGAAGGATAAACAAGATTTATTAATTCTTTTTTGGAACTACGTCACTACTAGTAGAATCACTACAAACGTTATCACTTTCTATGTCAGAGTCAGTATTCAAGGTGCCAAAATAAAACTCTTCATTGATACTTTCAGATTCGCAGTACACTTCTTTCGGTAACTTTTTTTTTTTGCCATTTTGGAGTATTATTTTGAAATATCTTAACAAGCGAGAATGCCTAATTACAGTTAAACGTCATTTGTAAAGCTTTATTTGAAATTCTGCGAAGTATCTCCGAAGCTTGTCGATTTCTTCACTCTCAAAAGGCGACTGACTCGCCACGGTGTTTTGCATGGCGAGTGTGGAACGACTGCGTTTGTTTATATTGAGTTTCGATATCTCCGATTTGTCGAGGCATTGTTCTGGTTCATGACAAGGTCGCTTAGACACTTAAGAGCTTTCAGAGAAATTACGAACTGACACATGAATAAATAGAGTTAAGATGCGTATGGTTCCTTGCTGTGGTGGCTGAGAGCAGACATACAACCGGAACGGTAAAAAAGCTTTGGTGGCTGAGAGTAGACAAACGACCGCAAAGGGTTAATAGCAGATGGTCCCAGTATATTTTCATTCATTTAGAACCTGTAGTGATCTCATACTCATAATTTGTTATCAGGTTCAAGGCCCATTCATAGTAACTTTCATGCATAGAAATCTGCCTTTGGATAGATTTCACTTAAAGAAGGAAAAGGAGCTGGTAGAAAGTAGGAGGCAGGGCTCAAGAAAGTTCACCACTTCAAGAGAACTTTGTTTCTCTGTGAAATAAATGTAAAAATAACTGAAAATCACACTTTGGGTGCCAGGTGTTTTTAGTTGGCTACTTCTGGAGCCTTCGAAGATTGGAATTCTTAGGAAAAAATAATATAGATCTGTGAGAGATGTGTACTTAAATACACTGCTTAAGAATGGGGGTACAGCCCTAACCGGTTTGGCTCAGTGGATGGAGTGTCGGCCTGGGGACTGAAGGGTCCCAGGTTTGATTCCATTTGGGGGCATGTGCCTTGGTTGCGGGCACATCCCCAGTAGGGGCTGTGTGGGAGGCAGCTGATCGATGTTTCTAACTCTCTATCCCTCTCCCTTCCCCGCTGTAAAAAAAATCAGTAAAATACATATTTATTTTTAAAAAAAGGCCCTAACCGGTTTGGCTCAGCGGATAGAGCATTCGCCTGCAGACTCAAGAGTCCCAGGTTCAATTCCGGTCAAGGGCATGTACCTTGGTTGTGGGCATATACCCAGTAGGGGGTGTGCAGGAGGCAGCTGATCGATGTTTCTCCCTCATTGATGTTTCTAACTCTCTATCCCTCTCCCTTTCTCTCTGTAAAAAATCAATAAAATATATATTTTTTTAAAAAGAATGGGGGTACATTCTGAGAAATGCATTGTTAAACGATTTCATTGTTCAAACAGGCTGTTAAATACCTAGTTTGTAATACAGGCCCAATAAAGTAATCAAAGATGGATGAAACAGTCTGTATGTGCAGCCAGAAAAGTTTTACCTCTTTTGAATCTGAAATTTTCAAACAACCAAGGAAAAAGTACTCTAAGAACTCATATGTGACTCACTAGTATAGTAATTGTAAGGATTGAAGGGCGTATAATATCTCTTCGAGAAAAGGAACTTCTGGTTAATAATGGAGTTCCTGTGCTTTCCCCAAAAATGTAGACTTGGTTGCAGCCATGAAAAATATTACTTGCCAGCTTGTTTGAGATTATATAAGTTCTCTGAAACTAAGCTCATCGAAATTTTCTGTAGCATCACTATTAATTACTTTTCCTTGAAAAATACAGTCTAGGAAATGTAAAATGAGAAAAGAATCACTTCCTTTGCCTCCTTGCTTGGCTGTTGCTACCTGAAAGAAATTCTTTACTATTTATTTGTTGTTTTTGGTCAGCATTGAGTTACAGCTGCAGGAACTAGGCCCCGTCATTCGTAGTGGTGTCTACGCCCATCTTGAAGCGTTTGTGCCATGCAATAAAGAAACACTGGTAAAGCGTCTAAAGAAGCTACATCTTAACGTCCAGGTAAGAGGAGAAACAATGATATCTACATTGAGAGGTTTATAACCTATAAAGAGACTGGTTTCTTTTGGGGGATTTTGCATATTAATTGCTTTATAGTCATGTTGTATGAATATTAATGGCACATTGGATCCCCTGAAAAAAATTACTTTTCAATAATAGATAGGTTTAGGTGAGAAATAATATTTTCTAAGGCATAGATTCTTGGACTAGTAAATTAACCTATTGCACAGCTAACACAACTTTGCCTTCAGCAAATAAACTGACATATTTATAATTCAATTTTCTTACTCCAGAAATGGATCTCTACAGATATTATGCAGACCAATGGAAAGAATCACAGGGTTGCATGTAAAATTAAAAATTATCTAGTGTAATTATCCATATTTTGCTAGATTGTCCTCTACTGCAACCCCATTAAGTGATTGTCCAAGATGAATGCTCTCATGGTCAGAAACTTATTTCATTACTAGAGGCCCAGTGCACGGGATTCGTGCACTGGTGGGGGGCGTGGCCTGCGGGGATCGGCTGCTGTGGGAGCAGCGCTCATCCCGGTTAGCTGAGCAGCGCTCCCACTGTGGGAGCACACTGACCACCAGTGGACAGCTCCTGCGTTGAGCGTCTGCCCCCTGGTGGTCAGTGTGCATCATAGCGACTGGTCGAGCGGTCGTTCTGGTCGTTCTGGTCATTCTGCCGTTCAGTCACTGGGCTTATATTATCCCAATATATAAAAAGCCAGGGGCTGTCACAACTGAAACAATCAGATGGACTACTAAATAACAGGCTGCGTGGGGCGACCAGGCCAGCAGGGGGGGCATTTGGGGGTGACCAGGCCGCCGGGGGGAAGGGGGGCGGTTAGGGGCAACCAGGCCGGTGGGAGGGGCAGTTGGGGGTGACCAGGCTGGCAGGGGCGGCAATTAAGGGCCATCAGGCAGTCAGGCAGGTGAGCAGTTAGGAGCCAGTGGTCCCAGATTGTGTGAGGGATGTCAGACTGCAGTTTAGGCCCTATCCCAGGGATCAGTCGGACATCCCCTGAGGGGTCCCAGATTGGAGAAGGTGCAGGCTGGGCTGAGGGGACCCACCCCTTTGTGCACGAATTTTGTGCACCAGGCCTCTAGTCTATAATAATGAAAGAGTAATATGCATATTAGACCAGATGTCATTCCAGACGTCCTTCCTGACAAAGCCGGGGACAGAGGGAAGCCAATTCAGGTCCCAGGTGCTGGAGGGAAGCCGGTGTCAGCAACTGGGGGAAGGAAGGCCTACGCCTGCATGAATTTTCATGCTTTGGGCCTCTAGTATAGGATAATATCAGAAAGTTCTTCCATGCTCTGTGCCAAACCCAGGTGCTTTCTAAGCTGTTGGTCCTAATTCTACCTTTGAATTCATCCACAAATCTAATCATTTGTCCACTTCATCGCTTTCATGTTTTTGAAAGCATTTGTTATGTCTCCTTCTTCACTTCATATAAAATGGTTTTTCATGCCTTTATTGTCCTGATTACTTTTCACTTAATGATTTTTTGCCTCTATAATTAAAAAATATTTATAACTTACAAGTAACAGAAAATAACTTGAATGTAGTTTAAGACAAACAAGGACATTTTTTCTATGAATAAAGGTTTTTCATGGAACTAAGGGCAAGGATGCAGTCAGGCCCTAACCGGTTTGGCTCAGTAGATAGAGGTGTCGGCCTACGGACTGAAAGGTCCCAGGTTCGATTCCTGTCAAGGGCATATACTTTGGTTGCGGGCACATCCCCAGTAGGAGATGTGCAGGAGGCAGCTGATGGATGCTTATCTCTCATCGATGTTTCCAACTCTCTATCCCGCTCCCTTTCTCTCTGTAAAAATGTCAAGAAAATATATTTAAAAAAAAAAAAAAAAGAACGCAGCCAGGAAGGATGGGAACTGATCATTTGGATTAACTCTTTTTCTACCTCTCTCCCCACATCTCATTTTTATCCTGTTATGTACATCTGCAGATAAGATTACTTGATTCTCAAGGTTTTACATTACACAGAAAAGCCACACACAGAAACTGACTCAGTTCACTCATCCCAGTCCAAATTCCTAGGTCAGACAATCTGATTTTAATATTTTGGGTCAACCTAAACTTTTCTGGTTGGGGGTGGGAGTCACACAGCACAATATGGCTATCCAAGGTCTATCATGGTGCTAATGGGAGAATAAATATGTCTGGCTCACTGTATTAGGTGTGATCTGACAGACAATGTTTTTTGTGGGTTTTTTTTAGTATATACTTTTATTGATTTTAGAGAGGAAGGGAGAGGGAGAAAGGTAGAAACATCAATGATGAGAGAAAATCATCGATTGGCTGCTGCTTGCACACCCGCCTCTTCTGGGATCAAGCCCACAACCCGGGCATATGCCCTAACTGGGAATCGAACCAGTGACCTCTTGGTTCCTGGGTCAATGCTCAACCGCTCAGCCACATCTAGCCAGGCAGACATGGAATTCTTTACAGTAGGTACTCAGCTTCTGTTAATAAAATACTTCTTTGAATTGAGAAAGTATAGTTCTTTCTCAATTCAAAGCAGTTAATGAACTAGTGAAATTTATCTAAGGTCTCAGAATTTGTGTCTATGCCTAGCTCCTTATTAATAAAAATAATAATTAGAAGTAGGAAGACAATTTTTTGCATATTGTAAAATATTTTGTAAGGGACATTTCAGGTTTGGTATTTGAAGTTATTTAATGCTAGAGGCCCAGTGCAAGAAATTCGTGCACAGGGCGGGAGGGTCTCTCAGCCCGCCCTGCATCCTTTCCAATCTGGGATCCCTTTCGCAATCCGGGACAACTGGCTCCTAACTGCTCACCTGCTTGCCTGCCTGATCGCCCCTAACCGCCTCTGCCTACCAGCCTGATTGCCCCCAACTGCCCTCCCCTGCCGGCCTGATCGCCTCCAACTGCTCTCCCCTACCGGCCTCACCACCCCCAACTGCTCTCCCCTGCCGTCCTCATCACCCCTAACTAGCTCTGCCTCGGCCCTCACCACTGTGGCTTTGTCCAGAAGGATGTCTGGAAGATGACCGGTTAGTATAGATCTACTGGCTAAGGCAGAAAGGTGTTTATCTTACCTTTGCATTTCTTTATATGACTTTTATCACACATGTTTGTAAACCTAAGCATTAAATCGTTTGGTTTTACATGTTTTTGATCTTCATATAAATTGAGTCATACTGTCTATTTTGTTTCGCAGCTTGCCTTTTTACACTCAACATTATGTAATTCAAATTTATCTGTCTTTACCTGTGGTGGAACTCCATACAGTTTTTTTAATTTTATTTTGAGGGTATGTTTATTAAAGTGAAACAAGAAAGGACTTATGATAGAAGAAGCAACAAGAGAGACTCTAGGCGGGGATGCTCTGGTTCTCTGGAAAGTCAAAGAAAAGGGGCCTTGGAGACAGGTTTAGGGGGTTAGCCCAAGATGAGATGCTGCTGACTTTTGCTCCCCTGGTTGCAAGTCTTGTGGGGTCCCATAGAGTTTAGAACAGGGGTCCTCAAACTACGGCCCGCGGGCCACATGCAAATACAAATATTGTATTTGTTCCCGTTTTGTTTTTTTACTTCAAAATAAGACATGTGCAGTGTGCATAGGAATTTGTTCATAGTTTTTTTTAAACTATAGTCCGGCCCTCCAACGGTCTGAGGGACAGTGAACTGGCCCCCTGTTTAAAAAGTTTGAGGACCCCTGGTTTAGAAGATGAAGGCCTGAGAGGGAAGAAAGCGCGGAGTGTGCCTCCATACAGTTTTACTGCTGTGTGAACACTATCACCCAGGAACCATGTGATATACTGGATGTTCACATTTTGAAAAATGGGGATTTTATAGCAGACACTTTGATGTTGCAATAATATTCATTGGCATGCCTGAAAGAGGTAAATGCTTATTAGTAGTAATATTTGAGTTTGGTTTTATTAATAAGATAAATGTTTATTGATGAAATAAAATGTTTTAATTTGTAAAGTATACCTGCCATAATATGGTAACTGTATTCCTAAAAATCCTATCCTTACCAGAAATCACATTTTAAAAATAGTTGTGTCAGTGAAGAAAAGAAAAGTTGTATAATATATCTGCACCTATGACAGTAATAAAAATGTGTTTTAATAATTACATATATTGTTATTTGCAAGATGAAAATAATTTAATTGGTTAGTTAAAGCTGGCAGATACAAATTTACTTGCTTTTTGCTCTGAACCCATGTGAATAAGAGTTTTCCAGTTTCCTTTTTTATTTTGGTCTTACCTTGCATTTTTGCTTGCAACATAAGTCACAATTACTAACAATAAATGAGAGAACAGGATGTCAACCAACATCCTGTTGGTAGTCTTCCATGCTGTATCATGTGTTGCAGTGTTCGGAAGCAGTTTCTCTCCTTGTGGTACTTGTTCCCCATCATAATGAGATTATCCAGTAGTGGTCTGCACAATGTAGATTTTGTTCTCTATTTGATCATTTGTATTACAGTTAAAGTATTCATGTAATTCGTCAGCCAAACATGAGGCATTTCTAGGAATGTAAAGGAGCATTATTAATAATTATGCTAGGGCAATAGGCAAAAACAGACTTTCCTTGGGAAGTATGGTCATACTAATTTTATATCCAATGTGCATTATGAACAGTCAGTATTGTAAAACCAATGTCTGTACTTAATTATATAAACATTTCATATTTATAATTAATGTCTAAAAGCATAAATGTTCATCATTTCAGGACCTGCTTACAAATTAAGTTTTGTAAATATGTTTGAAAAAACTTTTTTTTTTCTTAGGATGATCGTTTAAGAGAACCTCTGCAAAAACTGAAACTGGCTGTTAGCAATGTCATGCCTCAACAGCTATTTAAATACCAGGAGGACTGCCAGGCTCGTAGTCAAGCTAAGTGTGCCAAGTATGTACTTATTCTATTTGAACTGGGTTTTGTTTGATAAATATTTTTAGGTGTTAAGGGTTGGTGTTAAGTAGACTTTACCACCAAGTAGAGATATATATTTACCTCTAAAATTGTATATGTGGGTTTTTGTACTATATGTGGGTATTATGCCAATAGGTGGGTTTTTATCAAAATATTTAAAACTTACCTAATAAATATATTCTAAATGACACTTCACTTCCCACTTAATTGCTTTGATTTCAAAGGTGAAAGGTCTGTTGATTTATTGTATGGGTGTGGTCAAAGCAAGAGCTGACACCACTGGTCAGACATTTCACATGTTGACCAACTTGACTATCTGAGATTGGACACAAATATATTCTGAACTAAAAAATAAGTATTCATGCCTTTATATTATAGTTTGAAGACCTTATTTACCAAATGACTTTATAACCCCAAATGAAATTCAAAGTATTACGTAGAATGGTAGATTTCCTATTTACCTTGTCTTTTAAATTAACATCCAGTGAAGCAATTCAACAAGTTTCTAGGGAGTGTATTATTATATGCAATGTTGAGTTAAAACTCTGCTTTACAAAATGTTTTTTATTTTTAGGTTGCAAACAGATGAAGAACGAGAAAAAAATGGATCCGAGGAAGATGATGATGAGAAACCAGGGAAACGTGTCATAGGACCAAGAAAGAAATTCCACTGGGATGACACCATTAGGTAAGTTGTAACCAAAGCCTTCACTTGTAACTAAGTAGATAATGGAGATGTAAGGTTTTCATAAAAAGAATCTACAATAAGTCGAAGACTAGATTGGGAACAACCAAAGATAAGTATATAGAAAAAATTTATTCAAGGGAAGGTTGACATGGTCCTATTATTTTTAGAATGCTATAACTTTTATTTTTATATAATGATTTTTTAAAGCTAATTATTCAATTATCGAGTAAGCCATGTACTGGTTTCAGAAGGAAAAGGACTCAATATACTTGTGTTGTCAGTCATCTTGCTTATCAGCAGTTCGGTACCCCAAGTAAGGGTTTAGTTGTAGGACTATCTCTTTCAGTCTTTGGTGCCTAGATTAAAGGTATCAAAGGAAATTGTTTCATGTGGGGATTTAGCTATAGTGCAATGAATAATATATGATAAAAATTATTTATCTTCATGTTATCTGATTTCTTCAGATAATAATTCTTTACTATTGCTGTCAGATTTATGTGCTTTTAAAAAAATCTGTTTCAAGCTTAATTTTCTAAAATTTTTCAGTCAGATTTATATATAAATATATATTTTTAATCTGTTTAGAACTTTGTTATGTAACCTTGTTGAGATCAAATTGGGATGCTATGAGTTAGAGCCAAATAAAAGCCAGTCTGCTGAGGATTATCTTAAATCCTTTATGGAGACAGAGGTGAAACCATTGTGGCCTAAGGGCTGGATGCAGGCAAGGTAAGAAATATGACATCCTAGATTTTATTTATTTACTTTCTTCTTACTGCTGTTATTAAAGATACATTGTACACACACATACATGACATTCATTTTGCTAAGAACCTAATACGTTTAAAATTCTGTATAATCATCTCAGATGCTCTGTGCTTTGCAAACTTCAAGTACTTAAAAGACTAAAGAATGAGTCACATGGACATAGTGATGTAGAATATACATAAGGTGATTTTTTTAACCGACCACTTTTTCTTTTTCATATCTAAATTTTGTAGTAGGGAGAAAGATGGCTTTGAACTTTGGAAGGGGAACTTCATATGGGTATTGTGAAGATAAGGGACTGAATACAAGATCTAGAATAGTACAGAAAAAGAGGCATAGCAATAGGTTCTGTTGAAAGTATTCAATATAGAGTGGTATCTCAAAACTAATTTACAATTTAAAGAGTTAAGTATTAGACTTGGCTGTCTCAACCTGTCATCTTAAAGCATTCCATCTTAAATCAACAGAAGACATCTGTTGATCTGTTAATGATTTAAAATAGAGGTAATATAAAACTGTGTAAAATTGATTATTGAATTTACTGATAACTTTTACTTGGTAAATAAGCAAATAATAGATTGTTGAAAATCAAATGATTGAAATGATAAAGTGATTATCATATTATTTATCTACTATAAAAAATTAATTGTGTCCTTTAAATTTTTCCAGAATGCTTTTTAAGGAAAGTCGGAGTGTACATAATCATCTTACTTCTGCCCCGTGAGTAAATTCAGATTCTATTTTTATTCAAATCATATGCTTTAGTAAACAAAAGTATCATTTATTTATTGCTATTTGAAATCTGACTTAAACGTACATTTAGACAATCTCCATGTTACCACTGCCTCTTTTAAAAAGATTATTTTTACTGTTGACTATATAACCTGGAACACACTTATCTATTAACAGTTCTCAGGGTGGTTTTCAAAAATCTGAATCCATAATGTTAACATTGGCCTGAGATATGGTAGTAAAGAGCCATGTAAACAAGGCTCTGGTGGTTTCCTTTGTTCTTGGGAACCATAACATACCATAACCTGGGTATGTGCCCTTCAGTTCTTTTGTGCCCTTTTTCTCCCCCTTGTTAATGACTATCTACTTAGGTAGCCCAACACCTTGTGCTTTCCAAGACAGTTCTGTGTACATACTACACTTCCTGGCCTTGCAGTGTTTTATTCCACAAAATTAACTTACTCTTTGTGTCCTTTCTTCTGTTCAAAACCAGGTATTTCCTTAGTGATGTGATTACTAAAGAAAGCTCTCTTATCCTCCTGTACACAGTAATAAAAAGGCATGGTTACATTTTTTAATGAGTACTGGTTAACTCAACAAGAATTTTATCTTTACCTTCAACTTAGGGCTAATTCCCTGTAGTCTAAAAGTGTAGTATTAAGGGGTTAATAAAGCATAAAATTTAGCAAGTTACTGAGAATTTACTGAGCATTCTAATTCAGTATTCTGCTAAGAGGTCTTGGTAACATCCTCTGGGTAACATTACAAAATTCCCCCTCTCCTTGTATAAGTTATAATAGATGGAATTTTTTTGCAGCTGGTAGGAAGGACAGTTTCTTAGTACACCATCAGAGATGTATTGAGTTAGTTGTGGTTTTCAATTCTTTTATTATCTATACTAATAAAAGGGTAATATGCTAATTAGACCAGGAGACCTTCTGGACATAGCCATGGTGGCAGGGCTGAGGCAGAGGCGATTAGGGGCGATCAGGCCAGGAGGGGAGGGCAGTTGGGAGCGATCAGGTCAGCGGGGGTGGGGAGGCATTTGGGGGCGAGCAGACCGGCAAGAGGAGGCAGTTGGGGGCCAGCAGGCTGGCAGGCAGAATGGTTAGGGGCGATAAGGCAGGCAAGCCGGTGAGCGGTTAGGAGCCAGTGGTCCCAGATTGCGAGAGGGATGTCCAACTGCAGGTTTCAGGCCTAAACCAGCAGTCGGACATCTCCTAAGGGGTCCCAGATTGGAGAGGGTGCAGGCCAGGCTGAGGGACACTCCCCCACCCCCCCACCCCCGTGCATGAATTTTGTGCACTGGACCACTAGTTTTATTATAAATGTGGAGTAGCTTGGTTTCATATATTATAGGTGTACTTTGTTGCAAGTGGTTTAGTTATCCTACAGTGGGGAGCTATATATAACTAATTTTCTGTTTTGTTTTGTACCAGAACGTAGGAATCTATGGGATAGGTGAGACTGGAAATCTTTTGTTCAAGTGCTGTTTCTTAAAAAAACAAACAAACAAACAAACAAAAAACACTTTGAATATTACTGTTGTCTTAATAAAGTTGTAGATTGGCAGTTTTAATTAAAATATTTGTTAATCTGCCCTAGCTGGTTTGTCTCAGTGTATAGAGCGTTGGCCTGTGGAATGAAAGGTCACAGGTTCGATTCTGGTCAAGGGCACATGCCTGGGTTGTAGGCTCGAACCCCAGTTGGGGGCATGCAGGAGGCAGCCAATCAATGATTCTCATCATTGATGTTTCTCTCTCTCTCCCTCTCCCTTCCTCTCTGAAAACAATAAAAATTTGTTTTAAAAAAAAGATATTTGTTAATCTAAGTAATGACATTCAATTAAGTGAAATACAAATATTCAAACAATGTGAGGTATTTTAGCTTGTCAATTCTTTAATTATTCAACAAATATTTGAGTACTTTCTCCTACTATGGAACTTATGAGTGTTTTAATCTTCAAACTTTTTCACACTGGCTTCCAAAGTTTCCATGGTATTTTTTCTTGCCTTTTTTTCTGTTGTTTCAACATTTTTATTTGAGTTTTATGTTAAAAATAATTTTTTTTTTTATTGCTTAAAGTATTACAAAGGGTATTACATATGTGTCCTTTTTTTTCCCCGCCCTTGACAATCCCCTGGCCTCCCCTACCCCCCAGTGTCTTATGTCCATTGGTTATGTTTATATGCATGCATACAAGTCCTTCGGTTGATCTCTTACCCCTCTCCCTCCTGCCCCGCAACCCTCCCCGGCCTTCCCAACGCAGTTTGACAATCTGTTTGAGGCAGCTCTGCCTCTGTATCTATTATTGTTCAAAAGTTTATAATGGTCTCTATTATCCATGAATGAGTGAGATCATGTGGTATTTTTCCTAAAAATAATTTTTAAAAAACATTTTTTAAAAGGAAAGAAAACCTGTATGTCAGCTGTAATTGGGGAAAAAATAGAAAAAATAATTCAGACAAATTTTTGCAAAAAATATATATATATCTATCTACACTAATAAAAGAGAAACATGCAAATTAACCATCACTCCATCACTCTGCCACGCCACTACACCCACCAGCCAATCAGAGTGACTATGCAAATTAACCCAGCAAAGATGGTAGTTAATTTGCATATGCAGGCACGGAGCAAAGACTGAAGATGGCGGCAGGCACGGAGCTGGAGCGAGCAGGAGGCTTGGGTTGGTCCCAGCGACAGAGGAAGCCAAGCTTCCTGCTGGTCCTAGGCTCCGCTCAAGGAGGGGCTGGGGGCCTGGGTTGCCAGCGACCAGGCTTCTAGCCACCCCTGGGCTCTGCTCAAAGAGCTGGGGGGGGGGGGGGGCCTGGGAGCAGCCGCAGCAGAGAAGCCAAGCCTCGCTGCTGTGGCTGGACCAAAGGCCTGGGTCCCAGGTGCCAGAGGAGAACCGGTGTCGGCAGCCAGTGGAAGGAAGGCCTATTGCGCGAATCTTGGTACAACGGGTCACTAGTGTGTGTGTGTGTGTGTGTGTGTGTGTGTGTGTAATCAGAGAGAAAGGGAGAAAGAGATAGAAACATTAATGATAAGAGAGAATCATCTGTCAGTTGCCTCCTGCATGCTCCATACTGGGGATCGAGTCTGCAACCCAGGCATGTGCCCTGGCTGTCAATCAAAAGTTGACCTTCTGGTTCATAGGTAGACATGCAGCCACTGAGCAACACCAGCCGGGCAAAACTTTTTTCCTTTTAGAGAAATAGAGAGTAAGGGGGTATGGAGACAGAGAGAGACAATGATTTGCTGTCCCACATATTCATGCATTTATTGGTTGACTTTTGAATGTGCCTGATCAGGGATTGAACCAGAAACCTTGGCATATTGTGCTAACATTCTAACCAACTGAGCTATTCAGCAAGGGTTTTGTTTTGTTTTTCAAATATCTCATTTACAATTTCTTAGCATGATTTAATTTGAGCTGGAAGTTTTTCAAAGCTGTTTTCCTATAAATAATTTAAATTTTTACCAGTTCTTTGAAGTGAGAAGCCTTAGGCAACTTTGTTAGCCTATTTTGAGTTATTTTTATTTTATTGTGAATATTCACATTTAATTTTTTAAAAAACTTTATCTACATTTCATATTTTGGTTTTTCATCAAAATTGGGGGAAATGTTGCTGCCTATTCACATATGAATTAAGCGCTTACATATAGTTCCTTCCTTCAGAGAGTTTTCTAAATAGCAGAAGAAATTATTTACCCATGTAATTACAAGATTATGTTACACTTTCCTAATGAGTGACCTAACTGCTACTGAAATGCTCTCCTTTTTAATTTTTTGTGTTAGGGCAAAGAAAAAGGTGATTCCTGCACCTAAACCCAAAGTAAAGGTAAGTTCTGAATTAAGTCTTATAGTAGTCATAATGATGACTGTTGAAATGCATTATTTTTAATTTAATTAATTGATTGGTTTATTTTTTAGATAGGTTTTTATTTATTTTAGAGCGGGGGGGGAGACAGAAACATTGATGTGAGAGAGAAACATTGATCGACTGCCTCCAGCACGCACCCTGGCTAGGGATTTATCCCATAACCTGGGTATGTCCCCTGACCAGGAATTAAACCAGTGAACTTTTGGTGCATGGGACAATGCTCAACCAACTGAGCCACACTTGCCAGGGCTTTTTTTGTTGTAAAGGTGGGGCAGAGCCACTCTGGACAAATTTGGCCTTCCCACCAGCTATATGTAAAAAGTTTTTATTTTTGTTTTTTTTTATTGATTTTAGAAAAGGAGGAAGGGAGAGAGAAAGAAACATAGATGTAAGAGAGCTACACCAGCTGTGTGCCTTCTTTTAGAGGCTCTTTGAATACAGAGCAACACTCCTTTTTTTTAGTAACCTACTTTGTCTTCTAAATAATATTGAGACAATATTTTATTAAATCTGTTGAGTTCATGCTTTATTTTCACACCTTATTTTTTTTTTTTTTAAATATATTTTATTGATTTTTTACAGAGAGGAAGGGAGAGAGATAGAGAGTTAGAAACATCGATGAGAGAGAATCATCGATCAGCTGCCTCCTGCACATCTCCTACTGGGGATATGCCCGCAACCCAGGTACATGCCCTTGACCGGAATCGAACCCGGGACCTCTCAGTCCGCAGGCCGACGCTCCATCCACTGAGCCAAACCGGTTTCGGCTTCACACCTTATTTGTAAACAACTAATACCCTTCATTGAGAGTTTTTTAAATTTTGATGCATCTGTTTAGATAATGATTAATTTATCAGAACTCTAATAATGGAAGTGTTAGGATACTATAGGGAAGTTACCTGTTTTGTTTGTTTATGATTAAATTACTTTTTCCTTTCCCCAAAATGGAAAAACTGTATTGCTGACTTTTTTTCCCATCCTGCCATCCCTCAAATACTTATTTTAGTTAGAGAGTTAATATAAAGAAATGCTTACAGTAGAACATGCAAACAATTGGGAACAGTAAGAAGGAGAAAAGTAGAAATTTCTGCTCACTCAGAGAAAAAAAAAAAAACTTTTAACTTTCTGGTTCACAGCTGCCCTCCCTTTTTCTGGATCTTTGACCCTACCTCACCTCCTTCCGTCTATCTGTCCAACCATTCACTTATCCAGCTTGAGTTAACATTTTGTGTCAGTGGGATAATCTGGTGTTTTTACTCAAATATACGTCCTGAACAATTTTTCTGCCGATGTAAATCTCCACAGTACAGTGGATTTGTTACTGTTTTTTAACTTTTTATTGATTGATTTTAGAGAGAGAGAATGGAGAAAAACTTTGACTTGTCATTCCAGTTATGAATTCATTGATTGCTTCTTGTATGTGCCCTGATTGGTGACTGAACCGAAAACCTCGGCATATCAGGGTGGCGATCTACCCAACTGAGCTACCCGTCCAGGGCCTGATCTGTTTTTTTGTTTTTGTTTTTAAATCTTCACCCAAGGATATATTTACCAATCTGAGAGAGAGAGAGAGACAGAGAGAGAGAGAAACAGAAACAGTGATTGGTTCCCTCTTGTATGCGCCCCAACCTTAACCAAACTGGCAACCTAGGTATATACCATGGGTGGGCAAACTTTTTGACTCGAGGGCCACAATGGGTTCTTAAACTGGACCGGAGGGCCGGAACAAAAGCATGGATGGAGTGTTTGTGTGAACTAATATAAATTCAAAGTAAACATCATTACATAAAAGGGTACGGTCTTTTTTTTTTTTTTTTTAGTTTTATTCATTTCAAACGGGCCGTATCCAGCCCACAGGCCGTAGTTTGCCCACGGCTGGTATATACCCTGACTGGGATCAAACTTGGGACCTTTCAGTATATGGGATGAAGCTCCAACCAATTGAGCCACACTGACCGGGGCATGATTTGTTAATTTTATAAAGAAAAATATTAATAAAAAGGTTACTTAAAACAGCAATTTTAGCCCTAGCTGGTTTGGCTCAGTGGCTAGAGCATCGACCTGCTGACTAAAGGATCCTGGGTTCAGTTCTGGTCAAGGGCCCATGCCCAGGTTTTAGGCTCCATCCCCAGTGGCGGGGAGGTGCAAGAGGCAGCCAGTCAATGATTCTGTCTCATCATTGATGTTTCTATCTCTCTTTTCTTCTCCCTTCCTCTCTGAAATCAATACAAATATATTTTTTTAAAAAACAAAACCAGCAGTTTTATACTGGTAACACTGCCAATATTATTCTGATATACTCCCCAACCCACAGTTTTTGTACTTTTTATTATAATGGGATTTTTACTAATCATGTAATTACATGGCATGCCAAAGTGAACACGTCACATCTGCATTAGCCATTCATGCTAGCAGACAATTTTGATCTTAATGCAGTTACCATGCAGACTTCTGAGAGGCAGTGATGTTTTCAGTCAGGACTTTTAGAACAGAAACTTAGAAAAATTGCTCAGGGATTTAGAGTATAACAGCATTCTTAACAGCTTTTTTACTGTAGTACCTTAGAAAGTGATGGTAAAGACCCTTCCTCTCCATTTTTTCCCACTATGGTTAAGGTAAGTGCTGTGGTCCTATAAATCAATATATAATGTAAGACCTTGGGCTTGGGTTTGGTTTTGGTTTTTTTAAATCATCACCCAAGGAGAGAGGATATTTTCCCCTTGATTTTAGAAAGAGTGGATGCGAGAGAGAGAAAGAGACATTGATGTGACAGAGATGCATCAGTTGGCTGCCTCCCACACCCCCTCTATGCTTTAAAAAAAAAAAGTGGTGTTTACAGTCTCTAAAGAAGAGTTCCAGTAGAATTTTAGTAATCATGAGAACTTCTTAGTCTTTTAAAAACCAATACTTGTAATTTTTTATTAATCATTGCGTTTTTTTCTAATACAATGCTGTTTATACTAGGAGTGTAGTCCAAAAAAGGACCAGAAAACTCCTGCATCCTTGGTGGCTTCAATTGGTGGTCCTTCAAGTTCTGTCACATCTGCCATGGCCTCCACCAGCTCTAGCTCTACTCCAGCCCAGGAGACGATCTGCCTTGATGACTCACTAGATGAAGACCTTTCTTTCCACCCACCTGCACTGGATCTTGTTTCTGAAGCTTTAGCTGTTATCAACAATGGGAACAAGGGCCCTCCAGCTGGCTCAAAGATAAGCATGCCAGCTGCAAAACCTCGTCCAGGACTGAGAGAAGAAAAATTAGCAAGTATAATGAGTAAGCTGCCACTGGCTACTCCCAAAAAACTAGATTCTGCTCAGACTGCACATTCATCTAGTCTTATTGCTGGTCACACCGGGCCAGTACCAAAGAAACCCCAGGATTTAGCTCATACTGGCATCTCTTCAGGCCTTATTGCTGGTTCTTCAATTCAGAACCCTAAAGTTTCCTTAGAACCTTTGCCAGCCAGGCTACTTCAACAAGGACTACAGAGGTCAAGCCAGATTCATGCTTCTTCCTCTTCACAGACCCATGTCTCCTCTTCCTCCCAAGCCCAAGTTGCTGCCTCCTCTCACGCTCTGGGAACATCAGAGGCCCAAGATGCTTCTTCGTTAACACAAGTAACAAAGGTGCACCAGCATTCAGCTGTCCAACAAAATTATGTGTCTCCACTGCAAGCAACCATTAGTAAATCACAGAGCAACCCAGTGGTGAAATTAAGTAATAATCCCCAGCTTTCCTGTTCATCCCCACTTGTTAAGACTTCAGATAAGTCACTTATGTACCGCCTTCCCTTACCTACTCCCTCACCTGGAAATGGTTCTCAAGGGTCCCACTCCCTGGTTTCTAGGACAGTACCTAGCACCACTACCTCCAGTAACTACTTAGCTAAGGCTATGGTGTCACAAATCTCCACGCAGGGTTTCAAATCTCCCTTCTCAATGGCTGCATCCCCAAAACTTGCCGCATCTCCCAAACCTGCCACATCCCCTAAACCTTTGCCCTCACCTAAGCCTTCTGCCTCCCCCAAGCCCTCTCTGTCAGCTAAGCCTTCAGTATCAACTAAACTTATTTCTAAATCGAACCCAACTCCCAAGCCTACTGTATCCTCAAGTTCTTCCAGTCCAAGTGCACTAGTAGCCCAGAGTAGCCACTCCAGCAGTAACAACCCAGTCCATAAACAACCCAGTGGAATAAATATCAGCAGACAGTCTCCCACCTTGAATTTATTGCCCTCTAATCGCACTTCAGGCCTTCCGTCTACAAAAAATCTTCAGGCCTCATCAAAGCTACCAAACTCATCATCCACTGGAACTGTTGGGAAGAATAGCTTGAGTGGAATTGCAGTGAATGCACCTGCCAGCAGAGGTAGCAACCTTAACTCAAGCGGAGCTAATAGGACTAGTCTATCTGGGGGAACAGGAGGTGGAACACAGGGTGCTACTAAACCGTTGTCTACTCCACATAGACCATCCTCTGCCTCAGGGTCTTCAGTGGTAACAGCCAGTGTGCAGGTATGTATGTTATATACATTCATGGGGTAAAATGTATTAGTGTATAACCTTTCCTTATTACAGTATATAGGTTGTTTGTAATAGCCAAATAGCCAATAGTTTATTGCCAAGGAATGTTCCTAATGTTGACATAACAGTGATGGGGATACTTGGGGGTGAGATTTTTGTTGGAATGTGGATTTATTTATTTTTCATTCAAGTAATACATGCTCACTTTCAAAAATGTCAAAAGACATAACTAAAATGCATATTTAAAACTATCTTATTAAAGTCCAGAACAAAGTAGTAACTTAGGAATTTAACATACCTTCACTTGTCTCCTCTATTCTCCACTATAGTCCCCTTTCTCCTGCCAACTTTTTTATTTAATCAAATTTATACATGCATGTTATTTTTTCCTTTAATCTGTCTTTTTGAATAAAATTTTTATTTTGCAATTATTCATTTATAATTCTCTGTCAAATTAGTATCATTAATCCTTTTATACCACAGCTTCCCCATTTGTGAGATTTTAAAATATCTCTCAGTTAATAGGCGTTCCTCACTCAAGGAACGTTTTCAAAAAGGCTAAAATGAAAGCTATTTTACCTTAGCTCTTACATATATGGTCATTTCTGTGCTATCACAGTTGAATAGTTACAGATTTCTTGGATCACTAATTGTCTCACTTCAAATTTTATATATACTGTTCCACTGACCCTTTGTATTTAGGATTATAGAGAATTCTGAGGTTCTCTTATCAGTAATGTGTTTTCTCTGCCTAAATGCTAGTAAGATTTTCTCTTTTTTGTTGCAATTCAAGGGTTTACAGACTTTGGCTTGGTTTATCTTGTTTTCAGTAATTCTGTACCTAGAACATGGAAAGTCTTTTCAATTTCAAACTGGCTTTTTTTTTTTTTTTTTTTTTTTTTCAGCTCAAGAATATTTCATTTGATTACATGTGATAATTATTTCTGACCCATTTGGCCTAGAATTTTTGAGAACTCTTTATTACTCATGTATTTCATTTCTCTGCCTTCCATATCATCTTCTCTGTTATTATTTCCATCTATCTCCCACTTTGTATTCTGAGACTTTCACATTACTGACTTAGTTTCTTTAATATATCGCCCCCTCCCCCCACCGAAAAGAAATACATGCTCACTGTAGGCAAATTCAAAAAAGAAAATTAAAATCATCCATTATTCCATCACTGTGTATATTTTCCTGGTACTTTTTTAGACTTTTTTAAGAATGTGCGTTTTACATAATATTCTGTTTCATAATAAGCTTTTTAAAAATATAACATTTTATGATGTGTTCTTAGGTTCTTAAATATTCTTTGAAAACATGACTTTTATTGATTTATGGAATTCTGTTCTCTAACAAAATGCTCTAACTTTATACTGCATCCTGGTTATGTGGAATACGAACATTTTATGAAAGAATTTTCCCCTTGGTGTTCATAGAGGTTCTCTGCTATTCAGTATAAGCTAAGCATTGGTATTCAGTGTACACTTAAAACCAAAATCATCACTCTGCCATTACTGTAGTCTTAGAAATGAATTGATTCCAGAATTCTAATATAGAACAAAATTCAGTTAACTGATATTTTATTAATTAGAATCTAGGATTTATTGATATTTTATCTATGTAATTTTACTTTTAATCAGAAATATGAAAGTAACACTAAAAACAAACTGATTCGGGATTGTATGTTAAAATCTAAGTTATAACTTAAATCTGCAAGTTAGCCCACATTCCTGTTTGTATTACCTTTATTAAAATGTTGACGTTTTCGAATCTTTAATTTGTTCAAAGGAATATTTGAGAGGATTATCACAAAAATGGCAGTTCCCTACCCCATATCCTCCTGCTTACTACTTTTAACTCTCTTAGCTTTTTCTCTGGGATTTTAAATAAGAATGAATGGAAGACTCTTAATTTATTTTTTTAGTATTATCTTTGACTTCTCATTATGATAATGAGGCTCTTAGCTCCCTTATATTTTTTCCATTCTCCTGAAAGAGTAAAATAACAACTTTTGGTAAAATCCATGACTATGTAAAATATTGTCTCTGTTGAGCTAAATATCGCACACGATAGTTTCATTTGCTTTCTTATTATATTTTGGGTTTTTCCTTGGAGCTAAAAAAATTTTTTTTCACTTGTTTTGTTTTCTCTGAATTTAACATTAAATCTTTATCCTTTGTCATCTCCAGAATCTAGCAGTTTTATTTTCTTTCCAGAAATCCTTCTTGTAATCAATCATTTATGCTATAAAAGAACACATATACTTGGTATACAGTTACTTGTCAATTAGTTTCTCACCATGAACCTACATGACAAAATTTGTGTTTCTAAAATGTACTCCCTCCTGGTTTTCTTCCTCTCCAAAATGACTTTATGATTTGGAACCCTTAGTGTTCCTGCCTTCATATCTGATCCTTTTCGTTCACTTCTTACTGGTTTTACTGAAGAAAAGGTCAATAATTGAGTAAGGTTGTTTCTAACTATTGGTGTCCTAAGGGGTTTTTTTGGTGTTTGTTTTTTTTTTAATATAGCATCTCACTGAAATCTTATCAGCTATCTGTGGCCTCTAGATCCTGTCTCTCAAGTCCTCCAACACTAAAAACAGATTTCCTATCTGTGCCTGCAAAGTATTTAACTCCTGTCTGAAATACATCATCAGCTGTCTACTCATTTGCAGAGTGAAAGTGACAGGTCTTGAGTTTAACAGATTATTACCTCTACCTGCTTTTTATTGAATAATTTTCTACTCAACATGTTCCTCTTCTTTCTTGCCCTTCAACTTACTGATTTTCTCTGAATCCTGTCTTTGCCACTTTAGAATTCTGAAAATAATTGCTTTATTAAGCAAATGCTTACTAAGTGTTTAATATGTGCCAGGCACTGTTCTAGGTGCTGGGGAAATAGGGTAAACATTCATATTCAAACCCCCTCCTCTTTATGGAGCATATATTTTAGGTAGGAAAATGAACAAAACACAAATTTTAAAAATATATAAAGTGTTATGAAAAAATAAAATGGGATAATACGATAAAGTATGATTATTGCTAACATAGATAAAGGAGTTGGGGAAGGCCTCTTTGAGGGGGCAGCATTTAAGTGGAGAATTGAATGAGCAGGATTCAGCCTTTGGAAATAAGAGAGAACAAACAGTCCAGGCAAAGTGGGTGGTGTGAAGAGAGGCAAGAACAGGCCTGTAGAAGACATGTGGACCTGCATGGCAAGACTAGGAAGAGATGGGTAGGTGATGAGGTTGGAATTCAACAGTACCATGTGATGAAGGACCTTGTGGGCCATGATAAAGACTTTGGAATTTATTCTGTGTGCAGTGGGAAGCTATTGGAGGGTCTTTTACAGGGAGGACAGTGGTATGGTTTGACTAATATTTCTAAAGATCACTCTGGATGTTGTAGGGAATGAGGGGGGTGGATGCACTTAACCAAAATATAAAACGTGGTTTTAAAAAAAAGTAATGCTAACCATGGGAAGAGAGAGCAAGGATTCTCTTCATATTTTCCCTTGGGAATGAAATGTGGAGATCATAGAAAATATTTTTGATTATGGGGCATTATCCTGAGCTGTTTGCCTACTTCAGGTTGACAACTTCTCCTGTATGCTTCTGAATGATACCACTGGTGGGATGCCCCCCTTTGAAAAGTCTCCATGTTTAGGAGAGAGAAATTTATACCCATGTAACATAGATAATCTGATATTTCATTTTAGTTTTAAAAACAAAATTAGATACAGAAATGCTGACCATACAAAAATGTTAGGCACTTATGGCATGACACCGTTTTTTATTGCTAATACTCAATTATTTAATTTTGGAAGTTGCCTTAATTTACATTTTCCATCTATGTTTATTGGGGTTTTTTGTTTATTTGTTTTTTGAGAGAGAGAGATATGGTTAGGTTGCCTTGAGTACACCCCCCAATCTAGGTATGTTCCCTGACCAGAAATCAGGTGTGTGGGATGACGCTCTAAGCCAGTGGTTCTCAACCTTCTGGCCCTTTAAATACAATTCCTCATGTTGTGACCCAACCATAAAATTATTTTTGTTGCTACTTCATAACTGTAATGTTGCTACTGTTGTGAATCGTAATGTAAACATCTGATATGCAGGATGGTCTTAGGCGACCCCTGTGAAAGGGTCGTTCGACCGCCAAAGGGGTCGCGCCCACAGGTTGAGAACCGCTGCTCTAAGCAATTGAGCCACACTGGACAGGGCATTTTCCATAGATTTTAATGGTTCAATTAGCCTCCTCCAGAAAAAGTTTTCTTTATTAGCTGTTTCTCACTAGGGGGCTCTGTTTATGGTGTACTGCCTTGAAGTATGTGCCTCATGTTACCCTGAGACTGCAATAGAATTACGACTAAAAAGAAGAAAGAACTCTTGTTAATTCTCAAATTGATACAGGATCCTTTCTATCTAAATTGCTTCACTTATTATTTACTTAGTAATTGTTTTTTTAATGTGCCCATTTTGTCTATCACGATTGGCACAATAGAGAAGAAGACTGGAAAATAAGAAAGATAGTTAATGCCAAGCAGAAAGTGATAAAGACTTATACGTAAGTGTTGGAGGAAGTTGTGGAAAAAAAGAAAGAATGTGTATGTTGCCCACAAGCTCACCTTGTCCTTTACTTTTTAATGCCTGAAAACTAAGGTGTCAAACCTAAGTGGCAGGTAAGAACAAGACTATTGCTGATAGCAGTTAACATAGCAGGTGATGATGAGTTTAGTTGTGGACATGCCAAGTAGGTGAGTGTTAGATATCCAAGTTAGATTCTTCATTGAACTTCTAGATATACAGGATTGAAATTGAGATGAGAGGTCAGGAGTGTGAATATAAATTTGAGAAATTAAAATTAAAGGAGATAATGGGAGGGAAGGCTATTGGAGAGAGTGGAAAAAACAGAATGAGAAGCTTCTTGAGGTTGTTCTGCAATTCATGTGCAGCAGTAGCATGGACCACTAAGTATATACTAGTACTATGTAATGTGGCATAGATGGATGGGAAGATCACCTATATTTTCTCATATATTAACTAAGCAAAATGATTCAGCCTTTATTAATGAATAATGTTTACTGGTTGAATAATAAACACATAAAATCAGCCTGACAGTGGCTAACATGTAAAATATTTAGTCAGGGAAATTTAGAATTAGTAAAATAAGGCTACAAAAGAAAACTTAACAGTTGCAGAAACTATAATAGATAATATCTAATACTGAGAAAAGCTTATAATCTTTGTTGATAAATTCACATAGAAAATAAATGTCAAAATGGGAAAAAATTACTTAATTGCTGTATAGAAAATTGTTCAAAGAATTAAATTAGCTTAATGAAGTATATTTAAGTAATTTCTCAATGAAAGTTCAATGTTAGCATATTTTTCATTTCACTGTTTTTACTCATAAACAGCATTAAAACACAGGTAGGTCCCCGGCTGGTGTTGCTCAGTGGTTGAATGTCAACCTATGATCCAGGAGATCACGGTTCAATTCCTAGTCAGGGCACATTCCCCGGTTGCGGGCTTGATCTCCAATAGGGGGTGTGGAGGAGGCAGCTAATCAATGATTTTCTCTCATCATTGATATTTCTATCTCTCCCTCTCCCTTCCTTTCTGAAATCAATGAAAATATATTAAAAGAACAAACAGATAGGGGAGTGTCAAAACACCCTCTAATTTGCCTTTACCTTAGAGAGTCTAAGTTCAGAAAAGTAGTAGAGATGGAAACCAACTTACAGGGGTTAAGGAGAGACTAGAAGGGTGGGCAAACTTTTTGACTCGAGGGCCACAATGGGTTCTTAAACTGGACCGGAGGGCCGGAACAAAAGCATGGATGGAGTGTTTGTGTGAACTAATATAAATTCAAAGTAAACATCATTACATAAAAGGGTACGGTCTTTTTTTTTTTTTTTTAGTTTTATTCATTTCAAACGGGCCGGATACAGCCCGCGGGCCGTAGTTTGCCCACGGCTGGACTAGATAATGTGGAAAGTGGAGGCTGTCATTCACTAAGTTTGAAGATAAAAGGAATACAAATAAGTCAAGTGGTTTCCAAAGTTGAGGAAGAGCCAGGAATAAGTGGTTGTAAAAAGAGATGAGTCCTGGCCGGTTTGGCTCAGTGGATGGAGCGTCGGCCTTTGGACTGAAGGGTCCCAGGTTCGATTCCAGTCAAGGGCGCGTACCTCAGTTGCTGGCTCAATCCCCCAGTAGGGGCTGTGCAGGAGGCAACTGATCGATGATGTTCCTCTCTCATCAATGTTTCTATCTCTCTATCCCTCTCCCTTCTTCCTCTCTAAAAATCAAAAGATATTTTTTAAAAAAGAGATAAGATTGGGAGGATAAGGACACATTTTCAATATCTTAATCAATAAAGGGAAAAAAAGAATTCTCTGTATATGAGAAGGCAGAGGAAACATGGAAAAAGTGCGAATACTAGATTATTTGTACCAGGAAGTTCTACATTAATGGGATTCATGGCATAGGCCAGTTCATAGGTCATAGCTTTTGGAGAAGAGGCGGGTGAGTCTGATGAGGAAGAACATCCCAGGTGGCCTCATCTCTGTAAGGTGTTAGGATGGAAGTAAAGGACACAGAGTTAGGGGCTCTGAGAGAGTAATAATAATCTGTAGCAGCAACTGCAGAGACTGTGCCAGGAAACAGTATAGACAAATAGCAAAGAGACTGAGCATGTTCAGAGACCACATTGAAATTGGTTCAGATCTAGGGGAATCTAAGATTAGAAGTGAATGGAGCCCTAACCAGTTTGGCTCAGTGGATAGGGCGTCAGCTGCGGACTGAAAGGTGCCAGGTTCGATTCTGGTCGGGGGCATGTACCTTGGTTTCGGGCACATCCCCAGCAGGAGGCAGCTGATCGATGTTTCTCTCTCATGTTTCTAACACTATCCCTCTCCCTTCCTCTCTATAAAAAATCAATAAAATATGTATTTTTTTAAAAAGAAGTGAATTGCCCTAACTGATTTGGCTCAATGGATAGAGCATCGGCCTGCAGACTGAAGGGTCCCAGGTTTGATTCCAGTCAAGGGCATGTACCTTGGTTGCGGGCACATCCCCATTGGGGAATGTGCAGGAGGCAGCTGATAGATGTTTCTCTCTCATCGATGTTTCTAACTCTCTATCCCTCTCCCTTCCTCTCTGTAAAAAAAATCAATAAAATATATTTTTTAAAAAAAATTTAAAAAAAGAAGTGAATGGATTGAGAGGGTGATGGGTGTTAATATAGGCAATAAAATAACTTAAGGAAGAGTCTAAACGTGATGAAGAGCTGAGTATAGAATTATTAAGTAGCACTTTGAATTGTATTGTTCACCTCCATCTTCATTTCTATATCAAGGTTTCTGTTAGAGCAAATATAAAACATAGTCTTGTGCCCATGAGGATATTAAATAAATCAATTCAGGTTAAAGATTTGATTTCTTATGTATTTTGACCCCTGGTTTCTGCAGTCCACAGCAGGAGCATCATTATTGGCTAATGCCTCACCTCTGACTCTCATGACATCACCTTTGTCTGTAACAAATCAAAATGTGACTCCTTTTGGGATGCTGGGTGGCCTTGTTCCAGTGACCATGCCCTTCCAGTTTCCCTTGGAGCTACTTGGCTTTGGAACGGACACAGCTGGAGTGACAACCACCTCGGGATCTACCTCAGCCGCTCTCCACCATAGCTTAACTCAGAGTAAGTGGGGCCTTTGTTTACGTGGCTACCTAGTTTGACAGAACAGGAAACAAAATTATACTCATTATACCAGTTGGACTTGTATAGATTATAGAATTTTTAAAAAAAGAGATGCAATGTATTTTATCTATGTATAATCAAATTATTGGACTCTGAGATTTTATTTATAATTTTTAAATGAACCACTGTACCACATTTCTAAAAAAAATTTATAATAAGAGGAAGTCAGATTTGCTGAGTGTTTGCATTCACAGGTACATTTATGTATGTAAATTTTTTAACATGTATATACTCAAAGAAGGCCTTTGAAGTCAGGGCTGTGCTTGCATTAGATAAATTAAACTATTTTCATTTTTGCTCTCAGAGGGCTCAACCAGATTTAAGAAGATCACTGACAAGTCTGTTTTCCTCTCAGATTTACTAAAGGGTTTACAGCCAGGAGCTCAGCATGCAGCAACACTTTCCCACTCACCTCTGCCTACACATTTACAGCAAACATTTAATGGTAAGAAAGCCACCTCTTTCTTCATCTCTTTGTTGTTTATATAGCTATATAGATTGGACTGAACATTTTTTCTGAAAACGTGAATGAAATGACAAAGGTTGAAAAAAACAGACTTTGATGTGACTGAATCCTCATTAGCAACAAACTCCTTTTAAGAGAAAGGAAATAAGTAAAATGAAATCTCTTGTTACATGTGAAGAGAGTGGTTTTGAAAGTGTTATATAGAAGTGATGACAAAGAAGAGGGTTCATAAGGCAATGTGCAAAAGTCATATCCAGTAATTGTAATAGTTTATACTGATGGGAAGTTTACCAAGTGCCAGATAATCTTGTGACCACTTACTATATTAGCTAATTTAATCTTTACAACAAGCCTGTGAATGAGATAACAATCTCCATTTTATAGACCAGGAAACTGAATCAGAGATAAGCAGCTTTCCCAAGATGATACACTAAGGTGTTCGATCTGAGATACAGATCCAGGAAGTCTGACTCCACAGACAGCTCTTAACCATTAAACTTTGCAGTCCTTAAATTAATATCATCTAAACTCTATACATTATATTCTTGCAGCATAGATGTATCTTTCTGAAATTAGGTAGTAGATACTGGACATACACATCAACCTCCAGCAGTTGACCTCAGTAGACTGCTGATAGTATTCGGAAGGCCATTTTGAGGATCTTTTGAGCAGAAATAATTGCTCATCTGCCCTCTTAACTTTGAAGTTGACTGGGGCTTCACTATTCTTTTTGGCCACTGCATTTCATATTATCTTTGAACAAGTTTACAATTGGTCAAAAGTAGAATGAAAGCTATGTAGCAATCTCAAAGCAACAAGTTGTAATGAATCCTGTAACGGACCTTACATGGTAAGAATGAATATAAAATCACTGTTGTACAAATGGGGGACACAAAATAGACACAGATTCAGCAATCCTAATCTTCCTGAACTAGGTTTTAATGCTTAAGGAAAACTGCCCTGTGACTAAAGCAGTTGCTGGTATAATGAGTTCAGTTTAGAGCTGTTTTTTCATGGATGGACTGGTATGGACTTGTAAGGAATGAGACAAACAGGAACCTCATGGTTCAACATGACCCCAGTAATCCAGCTTTTATTCTTGTCTGAGCAGCACCACTCTTCCAGAGGGAGAAAGGAAAGTTTACAATTTTTTTTATTTTAAAGACGTTTAAAAGTATAAGACACCGAATTTGAGAATTAGGCTTTGATTTTTTAATCCCAAAACTGCCACTCAGAGCAAGTTTCTTAACTCGTTTGACCATCACAATCTCTTGCTTGTAAACGGGGGACAAGAAGATGTTTTTAATAGGCTTCTTATGAGAATTTAATGAAAATAATTTAAGGCTTCTAGCATAGTGCCTTATACATAGTAAGAGTTCAGATTATTAATGTCAATTCTCTTACTTTATCTAAAGACAGAGATCAGTAAACTTTTTTCTCTAAAGGCCCAAATAGTAAATATTTAGCCTTTGCAGGCCATTTAGTCTCTATCACAACTACTCAACTCTGTAGTGTAGTGAAAATAGCCATAGAGAATATCTAATATGAGTATGGCTGAATTCCAATACAACTTTTTATTTATAAAAAGAAGTGTAAAAAAACAAACAAATAAAAAAGAGGTGGTGGCCAGATTTGGCCCTTGGGAAGGTCTTGCTTTAAAGACTCTCAGAGTCCATTTAATATGAGCATTTTATTTTGCTAATTAACCAAAGCTTCTTTGAGCAAAATTCCATCTTGCCATTTTATAAGTTTAATTATGCCTAAAGTTAAATCATTTTTCTCTACAAATGTAAGTATGTAATATCTCATTATCAATGAAAAAGCCAGTTCCTTAGATGTTGTCGCCAAACTTATTTTACTAGTATTCTGTTTATACAGCTTTTGAAATGATCATATTTTGTTGATACATCTTTTCTTTAGTAGAGGAATTTTTTCGGTTTGTGTTTTACCAGAGTAATTTAGATATCACATGAGTGGACCTAGCAATATGACTTTTGTGCTCTCCTCCAGCCTTAAGTTTGTTATTGTAGTACAATATTTTGTTCTTTTCACCTGTGTAGTATTTCTACCATGCCTCCCTGTCTTTTTCTGTTAATCCTATTGGGTGGGGATGGGAGGTGTCTTATTCCTTGTTAAGGTAATGACCTGTTAGAGACTCCCTCTATATTTTTTTGGCTTTCAAAGTCACTGGGTCCAACTCTTACCCAGTTTAAATAGAGAAAACAGCATTTTTCTAGTAAAAGTTAAATAGTCACACGTAGAACTGGAAACCCTTATTCCTAGTAGCAGACTTTCCTATCAGCTAAACTTTCATAGGTTAGGGCCAAAAAAAGACTCAGCTGGATTTTTCACTACCAATGTGCCCCATCATTTACATAAATAATTGTGAATTATCAAATGCTATGTCATGGCAAGAAATTTAACTTTACTTGCAAAAGAATGAAATTGACCTTGTCTTCTAAATGAATCTATGTGGTATGTCCCTTGAAGGTGGGGATTATGTTTTTATGATCCTTTATAATCCTCACAGCATTTAGCATATTGTCTGTGAGGTAGAATCCTATTTATATATATAAAAAGCCAGCGACTGGAATGACTGGTCACTATGACGCCCACTGTGTCCAGCGAACTGGCCCAATCGGGGGGTGGGGCCAGCCAGCCAAACTCCCTAGGCCCCTCCCCCCAGTTGGCCCTGCCCCTGATCACACCCCCAACCCCAGTAGGGGGCAGGGCTGGCCAGCCAACCTCCTGCAGCCCCTCCCCCCAGCGGCCCACCCCCCGATGAGCCCCCACCACCCCTATCAGCCTGTGGCCCCTCCCCCCAACCAGCTCTGCCCCAGTTGCCCACCTCACACACCAATCGGGTGGAGCTGGTCAGCCAACCTCCCACTGACCCTCGATCAGCCCCCCCACCTCACTTGGGGGTAGGGCTGGCTGGCCCACTGCCCATAGCCCCTCCCCATGGTCGGCCCCCCACCCCAATAGGGAGCGGGGCCCGCCGGCCAATTGCCCACGGCCCCTCTCCCCAGCTAGCCTGGCTCTGATGGGGGCAGGCTGGCCAGCCAACCTCCCACCACCTCCTCCCAAGAGGCCCTGCCCCAATCCGCCCTAATTGGGACTGGGCCAGCTGGACCCCACCTGTCACTTGTGCACGAATTCATGCACTGGGCCTCTAGTATATATATAAAAGCCTAACTGACCACCCGACCATTTGACTGTCCTGTCCAACCGGTAGCTATGACACACAATAACCACCAGGGGGCAGACACTCAACATAGGAGCTGTGGTGACTTGGCAGCTGCAGTTCTCGGGTGATGCACCTGGAACCAGAGAGGGGGGAGCCTGATTCCAGGGTGCATCACCTGAGAACCGCCCTCTCACAATCCAGGACCTCTTGGGGGATGTCAGAGAGCCTGTTTTGTCCCAATCCCTGCAGGCCAGGCCGAGGGACCCCACCTGCTGGAAGGGCCCTGCTCACTCTGCAGACATCCTTCAAGCCCGGCGCCACCCTAGGTGCGGCCAGCTGGGGAGAGACCGCAGGAGGTTGACTCCAGGGTGTGTCCGGCCGTCTCGCCCAGTCCTGCCCCGCCAGCCACCTTCTAAGTAATTTCCTTTCAATGTGCACAAATCCCTGCACCAGGCCTCTAGGAATAAATACTTGTTGAAATAGTATTTGTAGGATGCTGAAAACCTACTAAACCACAGTCATTTGGGATAAGAGAATCATTCTTGTTGAGTTTTTATCTCCTATATGTTTTTTCAACCTCTATAATGCTATATATAGCATGTTTTATGTTAAAGGTTATCTCTTTAGCAATGTAATCCATATAAAAATTAAAAGTTAATTCTTTTTGCTTTGCTTCTTAAATCTATTTTTAATACCATGCCTTCCCATACCAATTAAACATCTCTTTTCTTAGATGGAGGCCAAAGTAAAGGGGACACTAAATTGCCACGGAAATCTCAGTGACTTCCAAACAAGCAAAGGAGATGAGACACTCAGCTGGCTGATGGAATCTACCTGATGGGAAAGTACTCATGTGGTCATAGGGCTGCTGTTCTGTCGATGTTTACATTCTCTCGTCCCAAGCACTGTGGTGAGGAGGAAAAAGAAAAGAAAACATTACTTGATGTAAAGCCAGGTGCAGGAGGAAGAAATGTTTTCTTGCAAAGTTAGTGACTTTTGGTCTCTTCTAAAGAAAGACAAAGTTACCATGTTAACTGAATTAAAAGAGACTCAGTTGTCAAACCCACAGAAGTACAAATTTGTTTTTTCCCCCTGAGGGAGGAAGAAGGAAAATTGAGGATTTGGGTAAACTCCATCCATCCTGGGGGTTGGATCTGAACATGTATAGTCATAATTGCATAATAAAAGGCAATATATCTGGAATTAGGTCAGTTTGTCAGGAGTAAGGATCATGTCTATTTGAGTGGACTGTGGAGCAAATTTGCCGTACAAAAAAAATAATGACTTTATGTCTGATACAGACCGTAGAAAATACTATACCCTCAAAAATCCTGAACAAACTTGAATCTTCCCCAGTGTGTAGCAACTCCCCATGTGAATCAGTGGACTAGAGATGCTTCAGGAAAGTTATTTTAGCACAGTGATATGTATTATTAAATCATCGAGATTTTTAAAAGTCACGAAATTGAGCCTGTTGCTCTTAACAGACGAAACTTAGATGTCCCCTTTTTATAAAAGGGTCAATTTCATCTTCCTTTCAGAAGCAGGTACTTAACTCTCTTCTTCAGGTGATTTGTGCATCTGGTATTGACATTAATTCTTATTTCCATTCTTGATGTTAAAATGTGACTATTCACATTTTTCTCTTGAGAAATGGGGATCTTTGCTGTAGGGCTTCGGCTTTGATGCTCTTAGCCCTTGCAGGTCTACACTATGAACTAATTTCTCCCAGCTTCACCTCAGTTCACAACTTCTGTTCTGTTAGCTAAGTGGTACTTCAGGTGACTATTAAATATTGATATAAACAGCTATAAGTGTGTACTACACATGCTTCTACATTGGTCATTCAAATAGCATATATATATATATTTTTGGAATTTTCAAGATAGTATTTTAAAGGGAGAAATTACATTCGAATCATGTGTGTACAAGGGATTATTTTTTATAAAAATCACAGTGTATTTTTACTCCCTATATCCAGTGTAGTGAAATTGATTTGGATCATTTCCTAATATTGACTCAGAATATTGACATGTGAGTAAATCTGCAGATAGTAAGACTCTGTAGTTATCATGGTGTCCTTATGCAAATAGCATTCAACAGAGGACATTAAGGGAGAAATTTATGGCTTTGTTTGGATACTTTTTTTTTTTACACCTCATCATTCTAGCCTTTCTTTTCTTTCTCTCTTTTTTTCCTTCCTGTTTAGGCTTCTAAATGTTTCAAAGTGTACCCAAGAATGGTGTAAGCTTGGTCCATTTTTAATGATAGACTAACCTAAAGAGCCACATCAGATTGATAGACGCAACATTGCTTGTGTATGTTTTCATCACACATCACCCTATACTGTTAGGTTTATTCAAATAAGAGTATTAATCAGGCCCTTTTTCTCCTTTTATAAGAAAAAGTCCCAAATAGCCGGTAGGACTGTGAATAAATTACTGCAGATCTGTTTAGATCTGTAAACCTATATTTGAATTCAAAGTCACATTGGCTGGCTTCACAGCAAAAAGTTAATAAGTAACTGAAAACTTTAGTTCCAAGAACTTGTTACAGTAAGAGCAAAAGATTATTTCAAAGGAATCATTGATATAATTACTTGCATCTCAGAATTTAGATTACCAGTAAAACAAATCTGAATATTGCATCAGCCCTGGTAGATATTTTGGGAGGATATTGGGATGTTGCAGAGAGGTTTGGCTTGAATTGAGTATGTTTGATTACAATTTGTTTTTTTAATTAGGCAAGCTTACCCAATTGAGTTATTCCAATGTAGCATACCTCTTTTATTGAAGTTTTATCTAATTTGGGGGGGGGCGGGGAAGGTCTTTGCTAATGCTATATAGGAGTTTTCCTTTGGGAAGCTAGCCTTTGTTTTACTTCCCATACCAGGAGGGAAGTCAGAGTGCATGTTAATCTCTTCCTGCTGATAATTGTGCATGTACTCATGTGTGTGCGTGTGTGTGTGTGTGTGCATCTATTTATTCATATATAACTTCATTACTATTTTAAGTCAAGAAATAATAATTTTAATTTCTTAATAACTCCATCATCAGTTCTGAATTATACCTTGTGAGGATTCACTGGTGATTCTGCTGTCATTGGTTTATCAGTTCTTCCCCCAGTATCATTTTATAACTAACCATTAAAAGTAATCTGAAGGCCCTGACCGGTTTGGCTCAGTGGATAGAGCATCAGCCTGCAGACTGAAGGGTCCCAGGTTCGATTCAGGTCAAGGGCATGTACCTTGGTTGCGGGCACGTCCCCAGTAGGAGGTGTGCAGGAGGCAGCTTATCGATGTTTCTCTCTCATCGATGTTTCTAACTCTCTATCCTTCTCCCTTCCTCTCTGTAAAAAATCAATAAAATATATTTTTTAAAAAAAAAGTAATCTGAAGGCCCTTGGCTCTGAGAAGTCCGCATATGTGGAGATTATGTTCTGTTCTCTTCAGTCTTGGTATCTTGGGAACTGCTGCCAGACCCAACCTCCTCCGCCCCTCCTTCTCCCTCCCCACTATTTTCACAAACATATATCCATTTCAGTCAAGACTACCCTTTTTATTATGTTAAACAAGTGAAACAAACATCCTTATATTTCTTAATAGATAAGTATGATCAGCGAATTTCTACATGTAAATACAAAACTATTTCTTTTCTAGATCATAACATTAAAAATGATGTCCATATTTATGGTCAGCTATCTTTACAGTTTTCTTAAAAACAAACATATAAATTGGTTATTTTTAGGACAGAGACTTGTGACTCATAGTATATTTTTGCATTTATTTTTTAAAATGGTAAGTTATTAAAAAGGATATAGAGCAGTGTGTATTTCTGAAGAGCGTTAATAACATCCCAATGCAAAAATAATCAGCACACTTAATTACATCCCATTCAGTGGGATTCTTGAATCAGGAAAATTAAGCTGTTTGTTTTCAATTGTCTTATATTTTAAATTGCCTTCACTGATGTATAAGCTATTACTGTACATACAAATTAATCCTCAGTATTCACAAGCAATAATGGTCGGCAGAGTTGTCTTCAGAGATAGCAGTGCTGAGCCCCTGTTGGAGACTGTTTGGGAGCAAAGTGTTAAGCTCATTCGGAGCCTCCAAAGTCAATGCAAGCAATAATTCCATTACAAGTCGATTATAATTCTTTCTCCTGTGCTTCTGAAATTGAAGGGTAAGAGAAATCATGGTTTTAAAACAGCCTGAAGAAAAAGGTTTTGGGAAAAGAAGTGAGGTTAATCTGAAGTCACAAAGTCCTGATGGTGTATTAGTACATTCTTTCATGCCTACTCCCCTTTTGATGGATGTTGTTAGCCCAAATAACATTTTATATCATAGAAGTTGAATAGGGTTATTGTATTGCCAAGGTAGGAGTAAGATTGGGGCACATACATGTTTAAATACTGTGGGTTTGACACCTGTTTGAAAACAACTTAATGAACAAGAGTTTTAACCCAGAATTTTTTTTTCTCCCAAAGCAGATCTAAATTGTTTACTACCCAGGGTTGGAAAGGGCAGACACCTCTAGTCTTGCTTCTCTGGTTGCCCTCTACCACACCCCTTTCCAGCTCTACTTGGTTCAAGACATTTTCTGAAATGGAAATTCTACTGTTTTTCAAACTGCCATTGATTGTGAGAACTCTGTGTCTCTTGGGATCACCTCTTAGAACTCCAGTTTTCTATCATGTTTGCTGCTACATTTGTAGAATGAACTTTGCCTGTATTGATCGACTTTAACCTAATTTACAGTTCTTTATTTCTAGAGGTTTTGTCTTATCATTTGACCCATGTATAGAATTAGGATACTTTATTTCAGGAGTATACCATAACAGAATACTGGTCCCTGTATTTTTATCTTCACTTAGGCTTTGAATTTGAGTTTGCTTGTTTTGTTTTGTTTTAAATTAGAAGAGTGATAAAACCTATAATCAGGCTAAACTCAAAAAGTTCCCTGTGCTTCAGCACTGTCGTTTCTGCTGACCGTCCGTCCTCAGATGGGGCACTTTTACTTTATGTTGTGCATGTATGATTGTGTTTGTTTTGTTGTTTTTTGCTTTGGGGGCTTTTGTTTTTGTAATAATGAAGCAGAAGAAAAATGCAGTAGTAGGTCAATGACTGGTTACAAACATGTTATGCAGTTTTATTTTATAAAATCTAAGGGGAAAAGTTTAACTCTCTGTAAATCATTTCTTAGCTCTGGTAAAATGCTTATATTGCTCCTCTAAAACATGCTCAATTCAGGCCTTTCTCTTTTTTAAGTGCCTTTTTTTCTCTCCCCTCCCCCCACCCTTTTCAAACTGTTCTCATATACCCTGAAGTACAGGCTAATAAGTCAGGGGATTCAGGAGGAGGAATCTCAAACTTGCCAACTTCATGTCATGCTGTAATGTTCTTCCTTTTCTTTATATGTATATGGATATGTGTATAAGATACATACATACATATATATGTGTATATATATATGTATACATATGTAATATATATATAAAACTAGTAGCTGCTGTACCATTGCATCCTTTCTGAACACTTCCTGTCAGTGTTTGCAAGACTTCTGCCTGTTTATTCCACTGCTTTTAATCAATTCAAATGGATAGACTGGGAAATTGTCTTTCCCCCTAAGAGCATCTGTTTGTGTGCGTGTGTGTGTGCGTGCATACATACATATATATATATATATAAAATAAGTAGTTATTACAAGTAAAATAAATTTAGCCAACTCATTGACTATTCCTGGGCTGAACCCACTGCCCTATGCCCTTCAAACTTGGCATGAGTAATACTGGAGAGAGCATTGGAGTAACAAGTCTTTTGTGGGTCAAGCCAGTAAGGTGCACTATGGCAGGCAGACAGCCATGGGGGAGCTAGAGTTAGAATCATGATATTGTATTTGAATAAGTTTTCAAGGAAGTTAGCAACTTTGTCAACATTGAAACTGCATTTTGGGGAAATTCTTTTTGGAGAATTCATATAGCTATTTTGCATATCTGTCAAAGGTTAATACATTTAGAAGTAGAAGGACTTCAGGTGCCGGGGAAAACACTCATATAACCTATAGCATTATTGAAAGATCTTCAGTTTTCATTTGCCAGATAATTACATTTGGCTTAATCTGCTTTTATGACTATTTAAATCCCTCCCTTGAGCCAAATAACATAATTTTCAGCATCTAAGATTCATTTGTTTTTTGTTGAAAACATGTTTGACATGTTAAGGGAGACTAAGTTGAACCAATCCTCAAAACCCAGTACAAATATCTAGTAAGTGCTCCCTCTTAAATACATATTAATTGGGAAGAGGAGACTAGTGGCTAAAAGGAGAAAGCAGAGGCTCCTGGTAGTGTTACCTGATAGCAACACTGTTATTAGGCAGCCTCTGTTTAGTCGTGTTACTCTTGGATTACTACGTTAGGGGGAATATCATTTAACCTTCGTGCCTCAGATTACCCATTAGAATGTTGGGTATAATAATATTCACCTACCTCCCAGGGATATCAGAGACTTTACTAGTTCAAAAATACTTTGAGTTTTTCTAAAATGTCCTATGTAATTAAAAAAGTATTATCATCGTCCTGCAGAGGCTAAAGAATGGGTATAAAAAGCACCATTTAATTTTTAATTTTAAAAATAAATCACTGGAATTCTAGTTAAGATACATATTTGTTATTTAAGTATTTTATATTTGTGGTGGGGTAAAATGGTTACTTTCAGATTAGTAAGTGGGAAGGGGGAAGTAACACATTGTTTCTTAATCATATGTAGATTTTTTTTTTTTTTTTGCCTTTTATGGTGTTATTTATTACAGGTGTGATTTTTGCCAAGGTTTCAGAGCTGAAACTATGTAAAATTTGGATGGTTTGTCATTGGAGTTGGTTAATGATCCCGAAAGTTTTATCTGCCTCACGTTTCCATCTTCTCCATCTAATTTTCTTGTATTAGTTGTTTGGTGATGCATAGCAAAGCGTTTAACTATCTAAGAAAGAATGGGAGTCTCCTCATTCTTGTAAATTGGAGACAGTGTACTGTTCCTGCAACTATAGGTTTATCCATCTTTGCACTGAAGGGGCAAGCACTACACACAGTCAGCAGGGTACACTTCTAGCCAGTTTCCCTTTGTGATTTATGTTTCTTCAACCCATGGAAGAGTTGTAGGAAATGGGAGAGGGGAGGCAGGATTCACTTTCTAGCTGGGGCAGGGTTGGGAGACCGGGGGTGGAAGGAAACACGGTTTGCCCATCTCTGAAGAGGAAAGGATAGTAATACATAGAATTTTCCTCTATCATTTAAACCACAGGAAAAATGGATGCTGCCTTTCTAGTTAGGAGTAAATGCTGAGCAACAATTGCTGGGGGTTGAGTGCTGATTTAAATCGTAGCACATGTTCAGGATTAGGAAAGAACATGAAGGGAGGTGAAGAACAAACTATCTAGCTCAAGTGAGTCAGGAGAAAGCAGCAGCCCCAGCAGGCAAAGCACTGGACTGATACCCAGAATTGCCAAGGCTCATTTAACCTCTAGTGACGGGACGTTTTTATTACTTTTTCCAGATAAGGCCTTAGTAGCCTCTGAGTATCAACTATGCAGATAAATGTACTCTTTATTTTACACATCCTTTCTTATCCATTCTTTAAATAACATGTTAAGACTTCTACCCAAAGAAATAAGGCATTAAGGTTTTGTTGAATGTGTATCTGTTCCGCTAGAGAAAATTAACAGAAGCATAAAATAGAGATATTTTATTTGTTCTTCTCTCATAAAATGTGAATCTTATATTAAAAAATTAAGTGCACATCCTTTCACTGGTGCAAAACTTAGAATCATGGAATACCATTGGGTTGTTAAGTTACATTATCACCCCAGCGTTCAATTCTGAGAAAGATTTAGGTTCTGCAGCACAGTGTTCAGGTTCGTAGAACTGAACAGATTGTCCAACTCTAATTTAAAATAGCTTTGAATATTAATGTTGTATTCTTCTTTATTTCCTTTAGTCTTCATTCTTCTTTCCTTTAATTTGAGCTCTTAAGTTAACCATTTCGTCAGCCAGTTGCTACACTGGAGTATTGCGTATTGCGAAGAATCTGGGGAGGAAAGGTTAACCTGTCTTTCACCTCCTTTTCTCACTCACATGGCTATCTACCCTGTGTCCCATTGAATTCAGCAGTAAAGACTACAGTCTGTTCCAGGAGACTGTTCACATCCCAGCACAGACTGAGAGAGAGACGCTAGGGCTTTAATTAGACTGCCACTGAATAACTTGACATTAAATTGCTTTTTTCTTAGCTACTCCCAAAGTACCATTTGCTTGAAAGTAACTATTTGTGGTCTTTAATTTCCTCATACTGTAATACTTCTACTTTACTTCTCAATCTTTCTTACATATTTTCAGTTTATAACAGATTAATACTTAAGTTTCTGACACTTTCCCGAACTGTTAACCAAACAGGTCAAGAGTACTTTCAGAAGTCTTAGTAGTGTAATTAACGGGGTTGATATTTCCAGGAATTAGAATTATCACTGGTGACCAGAATTTTTTTTTCTCTTCTCCTTTGTATTAAAAAATAGATTTCTCTACTATATAATGTAGTAGCTGCAGTTTATGGCTTCTTCTTGATGCTTTCGAGGTTGTTCAGGCCTTTGTTAGGAGTTTAGTTCTCATAATTCTCTGCCTAGCTTTTTTTCATACTTCCCTGGGGAAAAAAACCTACTTTGCAAAGAGTTAAGTCAAACAGGTCATATGAATCCTTAGTACGAATTTTATGTTTTTTTAGAAAACTCTTTCTACATCATTTGCTCCCATTTTGCTAATAATAATATAATTCTACTAGAAACCCGATGCACAAATTCGTGCACCAGCGGGATCCCTCGGCCTGGCCTGCGGGATCAGGCTGAAACCGGCTCTCCAACTTCCCCCGAGGGGTCCCAGATTGCGAGAGGGCGCAGGCCAGACTGAGGGACCCCCACTGGTGCATGGTTGGGGTCGGGGAGGGACGCGGGAGGTTGTCTAGCCTGGGAGGGACTGCGGGAGGGCTCCAGGGCATGTCCAGCCCATCTCGCTCAGTCCTGATCAGCAGGACCTCAGCAGCAAGCTAACCTACCAATAGGAGTGTCTGCCCCCTGGTGGTCAGTGCACGTCATAGTGACTGGTTGACCAGTCGACTATCTGCCCCCTGATGGTCAGTGCACGTCATAGTGAGTGGTTGAGCGGCCTTAGCATATCATTAGCATATTATGCTTTGATTGGTTGAACAGACGACTGGACACTTAGCATATTAGGCTTTTATTATATAGGATTTTATCTTAAATCTAGTGTTAAAATATTTTATAATGGAGCATTGATGGAAACCTAATTAAATTCAAGCAAGATGACTATTACCCAAGATAACTCGGAAATACTTCAATTTTTTAAGTCAACAGCTCCATTCAGCCTCTAAGCACATTTAGGAGTTAGCAGTAACCAAGACCAGCTGTTGATATGTTTTTCTGTTTGACAACCTGCCCTTAATTTGTCAGACCTCAGCTGTCTTGTATTTTCTGTCCTTGCAGCCATAACCTCATGTTTTTTGTTTGTTTTGTTTTTTTGCTTATCTCTGCTGCTTACAAGGGTATTGTGCTCTGTGCCAGCACATGGCATTTTCTTTCCCATACCTGCAAAATTACCAAGGATTACCCCAATTTGGGCTAGAGGCATTAAAAGAGTTTTTCTCAATTAACAAAGGTTTTATATAGTTAGTGAGAAAGTTGGCCACCTTCAGCCAACTTTTAAAGTCCCGGCTCTGCCTACATAATTAATTACATAGACCTTCAGATAAACAAGGGGCCCTTCCACCAGGAGAGGTAGGGTCCAAGGCCAGTCTCCAGAGAACAGATTCAAGCTTGGTACTGTCCTTTGTAGGCTGTCACGGAAAAATTGTATTATAGAAAGTATCAAAAATATTAATTGTTCTTAAGGAGAGTAGGCAGATCTGAGGCTTGCCATTGTGTTTTGCTTGCTAATCATTATCAAGCTTAAAAGAAGAGGAAAAGAAATCTCTGGCTGGCAAAAATTTTGTGCCCCAAATAATGTGTTAAAGTCTACTAAGGTAATGAAGTGATGGGTGTTTTCTCCCTTTTTTATAAGCAAGAAAGTTTATTTGTAGTTGTAAAAATTATTGTGGGACTGCAGATCTATTTGCTGATTGGAAATACGGATTCTGATTTTTAATCTGGCTAAGCACATATTTCCAACTTTTACGCTATAAATTTTGATAAGGGAAAGACTTGTTTGTTAACAGAAGGAAAAACAGGTCTTAACTTATACAGTGAATGTTCACTCTGTAGAGGAACTTCCCTCCAGTTGCACATCTTCCTCTTACCATAGCCACCTCCACACTTGTTAGAGATGCCAGTGTGTTTCTCCACAATCTTGAAGGAAGGAGCCTGAATAATTGCTGCTCCTTTGAGGGAAAGGCACTGCTTATTGTATCACGTGTATTTATAGGGAGGTGCATTTATACTAACTTGAAGGGATATACTGTATTTTAAATAAGTGTGTGACTTAATATTTTGGGGTTATTTTTCTTCCTTTAAAACTGGACCTGAACAAAGCTTTGAGTTGATATTTGTAATAATCTCAGGACCTGAAAGATTGTAGCATTTAGTGTGTCTTAAAAATTATGTACTGTACCAGCCATGGATTTTTGTAAATATACCTGTCTCCCTTTTTTGTATTATTTTAGTAAAAAAATAATAATAAATTTAAATAAAAGGGGGTGGTAATGACATGTGAATGGGTGTGGTATGTATGTGTGTGTGTTTGTATAAGGCTCTTATGAGATGAACTGGTGCTTGTTTAATTTCCGGCTCTAATCAGAGCAGGAATATGGACAACTGCTGCTACTGTACTCTGCACTGAGCCTAGGTATTTCCATTTTATCTTTCCCAGTGGTTGATTAGAAACGAGCTACCAAGAAATGACTAAGAACTTAAATTCTTCCCACTGCCATCTTGCTCTGTATTCTGAGTTCGCATACCCTTTGAAGTTTAATGGTAAAGCTTTCCAATCTTTGGGGGATTCACTGGTCTCTAGTTTTTAGAGAACTCTTATCACTATTTTCTAAGAAAGAAGGACAGATAATTTTTTTAACCAAAATCACACATTTCATAAAACCCTGATGAGTTATGGATATGTGAGAGGACTTAAACATTCCTGAATATGGATCTTTGAATTTGGTAAATTAACCCCATGGATATACTCCTTCAGTGCAGGGGAACTTTTTCTTTTTTCTTTTTTTGCAACAGCCTTGCTCATATTCCAGGTGTAGCTAGCGAACCCCTGTTTTAAAGCAGGAGCCTTATTTGATTTAGTGTAGTTGTTTCCTGTCAATTCTTTGTGACAGGGCCTTTTACATGCGTGGTTTTTTCTTTTTGTATGTGTTACGTGTTTATTGTATTAAATAAAGAGGAATGTGCATATTATTCTTGTGTCTGTTGTATTATTGGGCTAACTTGGATTTTAACATCTTATTCTTTCAGTAGTTGAGTATTTGTTGTCTGTATCTCACTGCACTAGGCACTATGGGATACAGAAGTAAAGTACACAGTCCCCACCCTCAGTATATCGACAGTTTACAATCACATGATAGGTTAAAAGATGCCAGTTCAAACTTTGTCACAAAGTTGTGGTCCATTGCCACCTGACATTTAGTTGAGAACAAGGGAGAAATTAGACTAGACTGCAGTGATGGCAAACCTTTTGAGCTCGGTGTGTCAGCATTTTGAAAAACCCTAACTTAACTCTGGTGCCGTGTCACATATAGAAATTTTTTGATATTTGCAACCATAGTGAAACAAAGACTTATATTTTTGATATTTATTTTATATATTTAAATGCCATTTAACAAAGAAAAATCAACCAAAAAAATGAATTCGTGTGTTACCTCTGACACGCGTGTCATAGGTTCGCCATCACTGGACCAGAGAAATTTGGGAAGACTTTGTCAAGTGAATGGTAGTTGAGCTGGGCCTCTGAAGATAAGTGGGATTTGGCTGGGAAGAAGGAAAAAGGAATGTCCCGAGTGGACAGGATGGAGCAGTAAGTAGACCAGTCTGGTACGAAGTATACATAGGGATTAGTAGCAGCCAGATTGAGGGAGTCCTGGAGTGCAGGACTTTGGGTTATAGGGTTTGTGTGTGTATTCCAGAATGCTACTAGGGTCAAGGCTTGAAATGTAGACATGGGAATTATCTGCAAAAGTGATCATCTTTTAAAGTCTTACTTATAGAGCACTTCTAGGAACCGTATTACTAAGAGAAAAGAGTAGAAAAAAAAAAATTCAGCCTCAGAAACCTAACTAGGGAATGGGAAAAAGGTGAAGAGCTAGAAAGCAACTTGTCAGAAATTGAAAAGTTTGTCATTTACAAGTGTATATAGAAAAGGAGTGGTAGTATGAGTCATTTTTATTTTTCCTTTCACTTAAGTGTGTTTTCAGTGTGTTGTCCTCAGATGAAGAATTTTGAAAAGCATGGGTCCTCATGCATGGGGGAAAGAATAGAAATGCCTTTATTAGAGAAAATAATGTTTAAGGACAGTTTTGCAAAAGTGTGTTCTTGGGAGTAGTAGTCCCCTAAGAAAAGTATGCTTAAATAATTTGACTACACTTAACTATGTTGTCGCCATCTTATAAATGTATTTGACTTTATTTTTTTTAATCCTTGCTTGAGGTTATTTTTCCCATTGACTTTTTTTTTTTTTTTCAAGAGTGGAAGGGAGGCAGGAAGGGGAGAGAAAGACACACATCTATTGGTTGCCTCCCACATTCCCCGAACTGGGGCCGGACCAGGAATCTGCAGGCCGATACTGTAACCACTGAGATAAACCGGCCAGTGCTATATTAACATTTTTAAAGGGCCACTGTTAGACAAGATTTTTTTAACCCACAATTTCCCCTTATTTGACCCTGGGATGCCTTTTTTTAAAAAATATATTTTATTGATTTTTTACAGAGAAGAAGGGAGAGGGATAGAGTTAGAAACATCGATAAGAGAAACATCGATCAGCTGCCTCCTGCACACCTCCTACCGAGGATGTGCCCACAACCAAGGTACATGCCCTTGACCGGAATTGAACCTGGGACCCTTCAGTCCATATGCCAACGCTCTATCCACTAAGCCAAACTGGTTAGGGCTGGGATGCCTTTTTATTATCACTCATACTAGTTTTGTTTTATTATATTTATTTTTTTTTAAGTTTTTAAGAAAAAAAAACTATGGCCCAAGGAGTTAAGGATTTCAAGAAGTAAGCAGGTAGAGAAGTGCAACCAATTCTGTAGTGTTGAATGAGAATCAGGTATCCAAAACGTGGGTTTGTTCAAGGGAGTATAGGGAAATATATGAAATGGGAAGTATGTTTTACACTTGACCACGTAGGCAGGAAATGTGTCAGACCTGAGTTTTGGCACAGGAAAATAACTGCTTTTTACAAAATTTTTATAAGGGGAACATGGACTTGTACACAGTTTTCTGTATAAGAATATTCATCTCAATGTTGCTCATAACAGTAAAAGTTTGAAACAATCTAATGCCGTGTTAGAAGGGATTGGTTCAGTAAGTAAAATAATATTAAATGAAAATTTTAAGATAAGACCAAGATGTGCATGTATTAAATAGAAGAGCAGTTAGAAATGTAAATGCACCTCGGCACAGGGAAACATTTAGGGCACACACCCCAAAATACAGAGTTGTGTTTTATTTAATTGTGTTTTCAATGAACATGAGCAACATGAGTAAGTTCTTTGGGTTTGTTTTGGGGTTTGTTTGTTTTTTGTTTTTTTAATCCTCACCCCAGGATATTTTTCCATTGATTTTTAGAGAGAGTGGAAGAGAGAAGGAAAGGCAGAGAGAGATATTGATATGAGAGAAATACATCAATTGGTTGCCTCCTGTATGC